CCTTGAGGTGGATAAGATTATGAAAATGAATGATGGAGCAAAAGCAATTCATAAGCATTCAACTCTTGCTTGGCTATTCTTGATATTCTTTATCCAAGAATAATCTTCAGAGTAAGAATGACAGAACAGAAATGGCTAATAAGGAGTTACTTGTTAAATTTCTGCCTATCCTTTAAAACACAGCTCAGGTTCCACCTTCCCTGCAAGCCTTCCCTGGTGGAAGGGATCAGGAACAACCTTCATTATGGATCTATATTTTCCAGTTTTTTAAAATAACACACATGAACACACACACACACACACACGCACACACAGCTCTTTAGACCTTCGTTTTCATCAGTGCAGAAAAACTCCCAGAACAGCCATTCCTGCCAACAGTGCAGATCTACAATTTACAATCTTCAATTTCTAGTCTAAGAGCTAAGAGGTTGAGTGACATTGCTAGTCTGGGACAAGTTTTGAACTCAGATCCTCCTACCTCTAAGATTGGCCCTTTACCCCTTTACTTACACTACCATGGCATCTCATACCTGTAGAGGTAGGGAAAAGGACAGGACCTGTGACTTCATTAGTAGAGAGACCAAAGTAGGTGATTACCTTCTCTGTAGCCTGTAGTCTTAGAGTCACCTAGGATATTCAGAGGTCAGAATATACCAGAGGTGTGGTCTTCCTCATACCAAAGTCAGCTCTCTACCCACTATACCACATTGCCTCTCATATATTTGCTCTTACACATATATAATATTGTATATTATGCTTTATCCTACTAAGCTCCATGAAGGCAGGACCAATTCTTATGTCAACTTTTTATCTATCCTAATGTTCCCCACTGTGCTTTGCAAACAGTAGGTACTTAATCATTGTGTTGAATAAATGAATGGGTGGATGGGTGGATGGGCTTTACTCACATTTCTCTTGACCAGGCAGGTCAAAACAGAGAAAAACAATTTGAAAAAGGAATAAAAAGGAAAGGAGAAAAAATGAGCTAGCGGCTAAGAGAACCAGGAGACAGAGAGGGACAGAGAGAAAGAGAGAGAGAGAGACAGAGAGAGAGAGAGAGAGAGAGAACAGGAAAACATAACCACATAAAAGTTACTGAACATTATTTGAACCATTGTAAAGGGGAAAGAGCACTGAAATTACAGGATCCGAGTTCAGATCCTACCTCTGGATGCTACCACCTGTGCGGCCTTGGCAAATTAGTTAGTTACCTCATCTGTAAAGGGAGGGGTCAGAGTCTTTCCAGCTTTAGATCTATGATCCTATGTCTGCCACATTTTCACTTGATAGAATTTGTTACGCCTTGCCTCAGAAAGGGGGAAGGGAAGTGCCATTTACCTTTGGCCGAGTAATTCTACCCTACCCCATAGACCACAGAGGCTCCTTCTTTAGGGACAGAAATGGGACCCAGGCCCTGGTGTATGTTAGCTTTTCATCCCAGCCTATGTCCATGCAATCACTCAATCAACAGTTATTTATTATTCAAGCAGCAAGGAAGTCTGGCACTCTCCAGCACTTGGCTCCACATGGGCTCTCTGAGGCTGTTTTATATAAACTCCTATCTCCAGCACTTGGCATATTGCCTGGCACACAGTAGGTGCTTGATCAGTGCCTTGGTTCTTGGCTTGACCAGAATGGATCTGACTCCAGGATGCCTGGCCAGAAGCGCTCCCAGGACGGTAGTTGTCCTCCAGGAATTGTACACGCGACTGAGGCCATCTAGTGGGCCTGTCAGCCTCCTGCAGGGAGCCCATACATTCAAAGACTTGGGGAGGGCCTGGCACTTTCAATTGGGATCCCACCCTCCCTACCCTCTACCTCTGACCACAAGTGACTTCTGGAGCTTTAATCCCCTACCCTGAGTGCTGTAGCCACAGTCCTAAGACAGACTGCTTCTAGATATAAAGTTCATAAATGAATAACTCTTTTCAAAAAGAGAAGCCTCACCAAGTAAAATCAGAGGCGAGGAGACAGCAGAGCTAGTTCACAACTACAGGCCCGTGTAACACACAGAGCTAGCACACTGGATGAGGGAATCAGGATCCAAATCTCAACAGAATATAGAGCAGGGGTTCTTAACCTGGGGTCTGTGAGCTTAGTGTGGGGTAGAAATGGCTCTTGGTCTCATCTATTTGTGTTCATTCTTTATACAGGATGTCCCAAAAGTCTTAGGGCAGTTTTAAACTATTAAAACTGAGAAAACTGTCGGGGCATGTTATTCATCTTAGATATCAGACCCGTTAGCCTATCACTGAGTTGAGGAACCACGTTCGTACAAGAACTCAATCCAGCTCTATCCCACTAAGCTTTTCTCCTCCTTCGTGCTCTAAACAAAATTAAATCCTTTGCATTCCCTCTGGAATTGGTTCTATTGGAATGAAAACGGTGATGGTGCAGTAGAAAGAGATGTGAAATCAGACCTGGCTCCAAATCCCAGCTCTACCGCTTACTACCTCCTGTATGAGCTTGGCCGGGTGATTTAACCTCTCTGGGACAGTGTCCTCATGGGTCAAATTATGGAGTCAGGCTAAATAATCATTACATCTTTCTTCTAACTCAAGATCCTATGATGATTCCTATTTTCACTTCATTTGGACTGAATCATATACCTGACTGAACTACATAAAATGGAATTCACCCTGATTTCTAGGTGTCCAATTTGTTTTATTCTTTAAAAATTCTAGGTGGTGCAGTGGATAAAGCACCGGCCCTGGAGTCAGGAGGACCTGAGTTCAAATTCGGCCTCAGACACATAATACTCACTAGCTTATGTGACTCTGGGCAAGTCACTTAACCCCAATTGCCTCACTAAAAATATATATATACACGCACACATATATGTTATACACATACAACAATAACAACCTTGCAACATAATCAGTCAAGCAAAATGAATCCATACAGTGGCCATGTCCAAAAATGTATGCCTCTGCACCCTGGGTCCGTTACTTCTCTGTCGGGAGTTGAATAATGTGCTTCAGCATAGGTTTATCCTAGGTTCTCTGGAGAAATGTTCGGTCATTGCATTGATGAGAACTCTAAAATCCTTCCAAGTTGTCTTTCTTTACAGTGTTACCGTACCAGTATACACTGTTCTGGTTCTGCTCACTTCACTCTGTACCAGATTTTCTAAAACCACCCTCTTTCATAATTTCTTACAGCACAATAACATTCCATTACATTCATATGTCACAGTTGGTTCTACTATTCCCTTGAGTGATCTAAGGCACTTATTCTCTGTCTTTTCCCTACCTTAATATCCAACCCCTTCAGGATCAGAGAGTGTGTTTTACTTGTTACTATTCCTTCCATCTTAGTTTCATTCCCCCACTTTTTTCTATGAGTCTGATCTATTTCTATATCAAACTATTTGTGTGTGTGTGTGTGTGTGTGTGTGTGTGTGTATCCAAAATGGGATATTGTGAAAGTAAACCGTAGGTGGGTCACGAGCTAGAGATAATTGATTTAAAGCTCCTAAGATGGAAGTCACAGGATATATTGGCAAATGAGTCAGTAAATAACCTATAACCTCTCAGATGGGTACCGAGTCCTTCTTTTCTAATTCATTCAACCAACCAATCAATCAACAAGTATTTATTAAGTACCTACAATGTGCCAGGCAACACAAGTGTTGGAGATACAAAGAAAATCAAAACAGTCTCAGCCCTTGAGGAGCTTACATTTTAATTGGGAAGACAACACATACATAGATAAGCATATACAGCACATATACAAAACAGACATAAGGTAGCCTTGGAGGAGAAGGAACAAGAAGCTGAGAATTTCCTCCCATTCCTTCTCTAAGGGTGCAATTTTAGGTTCTTTTTCCTCACTTACCAAAATAAAGTAATGATCTTAAGGTATTACACTGGAAACCCTGTGATATTGGACTATGCCATCCTTAATTTATTTTGTAGAACAAAGTAGAAGAGCATATCATGTAGGTTGAGTGGACTTACAGCCCCAAACTCTCTTTTAACATTTATCACTGATACATTTTTTTCTTTATGCAAATGAGTTTTTAAGGTTCAATAAAATCATTTACATGGTGGTAAATCTTTAACATTCCAGAAAAATCAGAGTTTGTCAAATACTGTAGCACAGTTTGGTGAGTCATGGTGGAACCACTGTCCTTATGGAAGCTAGTGACATAAAAAAAAGTGAGTGGGTCCTTCCTGCTGATTATGACTTCCGACATTAATCCCTCTTTCTAGCACGTGAGTTTGGGAGCACTGAGTTTGGGACTGTTTCTGGCAAGTAACCCCATAGTATAGTTTGTGTTCCTTTCAGTATTAATTACCAAATTGTCTAGCTCTTTCCTCTCAAGTGTCTAATGTCCTGTCCTGCTCCCTGTAGTATGTAAATGCTATGTGACCTTTGTCAGGAACTGTGGTATTTGAGCTGGACAAGTTTGTCCCAACTTGGTCTGGAGGAGGAGGATTCCCTCATGGAGCCTATAGAAAGCCCATCTCCCTGTTGGGACTTCTAAGACAGGAAAGTTAGTCATTTAATGTACAGTATATTATGAGTGGAGCACAGGTTGGTAATAAAGCTTACACACTACTTGTTACTTTCAATACCACAAATTAAGATTCTATTTGATCTCAGTTATGAAGAATGAACAGGGGCTAACTAGCAACAACAACAAAATCAATAATAGAATGGTTTTCTACGTTAATCATCACCTACAAATTTTTAATCAAATATTAATATATAAATACATTAAATAAAATAGACTAGCAATTTGACTACAAATTTAGAAAATACCTTAAAGTATTTTTAAAAGTACCAATAAATCAACAAAGCATTTAATTAGATATCAAATAAAGACCAAAAAGATATTATTAGGTTTATTAATAAAAGAGTTAATAAGTAAAATTTTTAAATTATCACCTGAAATTCAAATTAAGGCTTTAAAATACTTCCTTCAAAAGACAATGAAATGTTAAATATAAAACTTATTCAGTGATAAAAAGTCAATATAAAACATAAACTATATAAGGTACTTAAGTATAATAGAGTGCCAATGGTTCAATTTTCTCATCACATCAGTATCTTCATTTAATCACAAATCTTCTTCCTGGAATAATGTGAAATGCATAGGTTAATATATTTGAAATATTATCTTTTTGATTTACCATTTGAGAGCCCATGATAATTGCTAAGGCAACAATGTAACCTAAGTTAAACGGGGAACATTTTTTCTATAAAGGTTGGCCGAACCACAGGGGAAAAAAAATCAACAGAGGGCTTACAAGGAAGTAAAAAACTACTTTTAATACTTGTGAGATCTGTGATTTCCTAGGCATGGGCAGTCCCTCCACCAATGCAGATTGCAAACCTTCCATCACTTGGAACTGGTCTTTAAGCATTGATCTGGCTGAAAAATCCATCACCGTGTAGTCAATCTGGGGATGAACCTCTCTGAATTTAGGTAGGCTGGTCCTACCTAATGCAGCTAATATGTTGTTAGCTCCACATATTCTAAGCCTTTCTAGCTTGATAAGATCAAGCAGAGCTTGGGTTCTGCTAACATAACTGTCCAGAGCTCAGTATGACCTCCACACATGATGAAGCATTCAAATAGGAAATGAAATCATTTCAGTAGATTTTTTGAGAAAAATATGTATCAAAGGTTATAGTCACTTAGATTTTTAAAATTAAGAATAGGGAATATAACATTTTATTAAATTAATAGAAAAATGTATTTTTCTAATTAGCTTGGCTCCCTGCCTCCAGATTCCTCCAGTCCCCAGAGATGGGCCCACTTAATCCTCGCCCTAGAGCCTCAGGGACCCATCTGGCCATGGAATACTTAGCTCATTGGTTTGTCACTAAGTCAGCCTTGCTTGCTGGTCTTGTTCTGACTTTGCATTTTGATTCCAGTTAACTTAGCTCTTCTCTTGATCTTTGAAAGGGAATGAGAGGGGGAGAGAGGATAGAGAAGAAAAAAGCTAAGGGGAGAGGAGGAAAGGAGAAAGAAAAACACAGACACACAAAGAGAAGCATATTGAAATGCAAGTAACAATAAAGAAAATGGGAGACAGAAGGAAAATAATTTTAGTATAATTCAAAGTGTTAGTAAACTGTTTTTGTACATTGGGGTGTGACATTCAGTTCCCGGCCTCTGAGACGTTATCACTTCTTCCTATTTTTCTAATCCAAAAAATTTCAGAAGCCCCACTTTGAATACGATAGCCAGAGGCCACCCAGATACATTTATTCTCTGGGCAGCTACAGCAATGATCAAAGCAATCTTACTCTGAAAGCTGTAGAAATTCAAGCTGAGGGCCACTTGGCAGTCTGTGGACCAGAGGTTCTCTAGCTTTGATTTTAAAGGGTATCAAATTCTACAAAATAGTATAAAATATTAATAATTTACCTTTAAGTATTTCCAATAGATCTAAGAAACATGTAAATGTTTAACCTCAAGTTAAATGGGGGAACATTTTTTCTACAAAGGTCTGCTGAACCACAGGGAAAAAAATCAACAGAGGGCTTACAAGGAAGTAAAAAAGGACTTCTAGTAGTTTTTAGAATTTAAAAGTCTCACTGATTATTGAATCAAATATGAATACAGTTGTGGTAGGAGCCACTGGCACACTATAGAAGGGCTAATAATTTTTCCTAAACTTAAAATGCTGCTTTAAATAGAGCCATCTTGGTTGGACATGAGCACTATGACATCCAACAAGGATTTATTAATCACCTATCACAATGCAGTGCCCTAATGTTTGGACTTCTCCAGTTGGATGTACTACAGCCACCTCAAACTCAATATGCTCAAAGAAAATTCCTTTTCCCCTAAACCCTACCTTCTTCCAATTTTCTCTACTACTCTCAAGGGCACCACTAGCCTCCCAATCATCTAGGTTTCCCAACTCCTTACCTCCTTACTCTCACCCCCAAACCTAATCTGTTGTCAAATCTTCTTGTTTTTACTTCCATAATCATCACCTCTCACCTGCACTACTTCAACAGCCTTCTAATTGGTCTCCTATCCTCACAATTCTCCCCATTTTAATCCACCCTCCTACTCAAGTGCCAAAGTGATCTTTTTAAAGCATAGGTCTGATCATGTCACTTCTCTACGTAGAAAAACTCCAGTGGCTCCCTATTACCTCCAGGTATACACCTTCAAATATAAAGTCAATTAAAAAGTACTCTGTTTGGTATTTAAAGGTTTTCATAACCTACCTTTGTACACATATTCTACAATCTAGCCACACTGGCTTACTTGCTATTCCTCACACACAACACTCCATATCTCTCATCTCTGTGTCTTTACGTGGGCTATTCCCCCATGCCTGGAATGTTCTATCTCCTCACCCCCAAATCCTAGCTTCTCTGGTTTCCTTCAAGACTCAAGACCTTTTTTGAGAAACCTTTCTTGGTTGTGTTACCCATTCTTCAAACATTCTGCTAGCTGCTAGTACCTTCTATTTAATACACACACACACACACACATATGTATAAATATACATACACACATTATATATACACACACATACATATATGTATATGTGTATTATATATATATATACATACACATACACACAGACACAGACACACAGACACACATATATATCTTCGATGCACATGGCTATTTTAATTTTGTCTCCCCCATTCTATTGTGAGCTCCCTGAAAGAAGGGATTATGTTTTTATCTTTCTTGTATCCTTGGTGTTTAACACACGGCCTGAAACATATTAAGTGTTTGATAAATACTTGAGGATTGATGAATTTATGATTTCATTGATATAGATAACTACCTTCAATCCATTCACACTTTCTCATCCTGTACAACTATTGTATGTTTTCCTATAAATACTCTACAAGGTGTCCACACTGAGGGAATTACAACATAGTAAGCAATGGAACAAATGGGCTGACCCTCCCTCATGTTACATGACTGGTCCACTTCCTTTTTGGTCATATATTTCTTTGAACCTTGACACTTCTTTCTTCTACATAATTTTTCATGAGTCTAACCTAGAAATACAAATGTTCACCACCATCCTACTTTTCTGGCTTATCTCACTCCTCCAGGTATTCTATTATGTTCCAACTAAACTGCCCTACTTAACATCTTTTTTTTCCCCATCACTTGCCATTTCTTGCCTTTGCTCATGTTGTCCCCTTATATCTAGAATGGATTCCTTCCCACTTCTAGTTGTAAAAATCTCTCCCTTCAGCAACCAATTCAGGTGTTACCTCCTTCATAAGGTGTTTCCCAATTTCCCCAATTCTTTCTCTACTTAAAAATTTACCTTTTTAAAAAAAAAATCACATCTGCCCGATTTTATTCTTGTGACACCTTTCCTACTCTTTATATCTCAAAGGTTATCAACAGTAGATTCAGTCATATCCAAAAATTCATGGAATGTAGTTAATCTGAGCCAGATAACATATTCATTAAGGGCAGCTAAAGTACTCTCTTTACTGCAGTCCAGCCATAATGACCAACTTGCTACAGTGCTATAAACAACATTCCATCTCTAGCCTAGGGGCCTTTGCATGAGCTGTGTCCTATGTCTGGAATGCTCTTCTTGGAATGCCTCTTGAAATACCTAGATTCCTTCAAGGCTCAGGTCAAAGGTCCCTTCCCACCACACACAATTATTATTGCTCTGTCCTATCCCTGAAATTACTTTGTACTGACTTTGAAAGTATTTTGTATTTACTTATCTGTGTAAAATGTTATTTCCCCCAGTAGAATTTAAGTTCTCTGAATGCAGGGAACATTTTGTTTATGTCTTTGTATCCCCAGTTCCTAACTGTGCCTCAAACATAATAGATGCTAATAAAGGCTTGCTGAATTGAACTAATTTCTTCTCATTGTCTGTTATGATCTTCCCATACGTCCTAAGCAGTCTAAGAGTCATAGAGCTTTAAAGCTGGAAGGGACTTCAGAGGTCAGCTAGTTGGACCAACACCTGAAGCAAGAATTATTTCTCTAGGATAGGGGTTCTATCCTTTCCTTCATCTTCATCATAGCTAAAGTAAATAATATAATAAAAATAATAATCTCAAATAACCAAACCCCACCTTTTTGCTATCCACAGTAGCTGATACTGGGCTTTACCTTTCCTGATGCTGAACCTGTCGGACTGTTCTACTCTTCTGTATTCATACTCAATTACCTGACATCATATATACTTTTCGACATGTCCTTTTAAAATCTAAAGCTGCTGGAGAGTTCTCTATATAAACATATCTCTTTGGATAGTACCCTCATTTCTTTCTCATCAGAATTATCTTAAGTTGCCTATCAAAATTTCATTCTTGAAACCCTCTCAGACATTCTTGATCTGACCGCCCCCCCCATTTTAGACTTTTGCCTTCTCCTTTCCCTGAACCCTCTGACATCCATTTTCCTAAAGTCTAGGGAACATCAGGTCCAGAACAGCAATTCCCCTCAGGGCTTCTAGTGTCTGAAAGATGAAAATACCAGCAAGATATGGCAAGAATTTATCAGCTCTTCTGCTTTTAACAGAGAAAGACCTCTCTCACAGATGTCTGGATAGTGGAAATCTTCCATCACAGCTATGTCCTATGACTGTATGTGACACCTTTGTAATCTGCACCAGTCAATTCAACAAACATTTATTAAGTATCTATTATGTGTGTAAAGCATTGCTCTAAGTACTAAGGACATAAACCTCCGCTTTCAAGAAGCTTATATGCTCCTGGAATTCACCACACATTTCTTCTAGCAGTCTACAGTATATTTTCCCAATACTTCAGGAATTATTCTGTAGCTTGTAATACATTTCCACCAAAATTTACCTCTACTTCTCTCCTTTTGTCCCCAACTAAGTGCCTTTTACCATGTTTCCCTCCCTTGACTCTTCCAGCCCTTTCAGGTTTGTAGATTTTCATATAGGTAAATATTTTCTTGATGTATAAGCCTCCTTAAAGGAAGTGGCAAGGTTTTAGAATAATAGGAATAGTATGGGATGGAAAGTATAGGACCAAGTTGTTAGCTTGAAAAAGAAAGGCTTTCCTCTTCCTTTGAGATAAGAAGGCACAAAGAGAAATAAAAATATTTTTAGTAGAGAGGAGGAAGGTTAGAGTTCACAACTAAGGGCCTAACTTTTTATCTCTAGAGTTCCTACCAGTTTTAAATCCCATAGTTATCCTTTCCACATAATAACTTTCCTCATCATGGTTTCAATATATTGAGGGTTGGTATAAGAAATTAAATGGTAATTTTTGGGGAGTTTTGTGGAAGCTGCAGACAATACGTGAAGGCCAGCAGATGATACAGAGCCTGTGACCAAATATATTTTTGATGAGGGATAGGATGAAAGGAGAGGGAGAAAAGAATAAATAGGAAAATAAAATGGAGGGAAATACACAGTTAGTAATCATAACAGTAAATGTGAATGAGATGACTCACTCATGAAAAGGAAGCAGATGACAGAACGGGTTAAAAACCAGAATCCAACAATATGTTGTTTACAAGAAACACACTTGAAGCAGAGAGGCACACAGAGTAAATAAAGGTAAGTGGCTGGAGCAGAGTCTATTACACTTCAGCTGGAGGAAAATCAAAAAAATCAGAGTTAGCAATCATGATCTCAGACAAAGCAAAAATAGACTTAATTAAAAGGGATAAGCAGGGAAACTATATCTTGTTAAAATGAACCATAGGTAATGAAGTAATGTCAATACTAAACATGTATGCACCAAATGGCATAGTATTCAGATTGTTAAAGGAAAAATTAAATGAGTTACAGGAGAAAATAGTAAGCTATCAACTTTCCCCTCATAGAACTAGATAAATCTAACCAAAAAATAAACAAGAAAGAAGTTAAGGAGATGAATAAAATTTTACAAATGTTAGTTATGGTAGGCCTTTGGAGAAAACTAAATGAGAACAGAAAGGAATATACATTTTTCTCAGTGGTACATGGCACCTACACAAAAATTAACCATGTATTAGGGACATAAAAACCTCACAGACAAATGCAGAAAAACAAAAATATTAAATGCATCCTTTTCAAATCATAATGCAATAAAAACTATATTCAACAAAGGGCTATAGAAAAATAGATTAAATTAATTGGAAACTAAATAATTTAATCTTAAAGAATGAGTGGGTTAAAAACAAATCACAGAAACATTCAATAATTTCATCAAAGAGAATGACAACAATGAGACAAAATACCGAAATTTATGGGACTCAGCCGAAGCAGTACTTAGGGAAAAATTTATCTCTCTAAATTCTCACCTCAATAAAACAAAGAAAGAGCAGATCAATGAATTGGGCATACAAATGAAAAGCTATGAATAGTGGTTAATAATCCAATCAACTCTTCAAAAGTCAGTAACAAGCAATAATAATTTATTCTGATGCTCACAGCCCAGCTGTATAAACAAGATATAACAAGGGCAATTTATCTCTATTAACTATGATTCACCTCAGAACCTACTGAGCTTTTCTGTCTTTCCCTCTCTGTGAGCTTCACCCTTCCATTTCTCTTCTGTGTCTCTGGCTTTTTGCCATCTTCTTAACTCTTCCCCTGTGGAACTGAAGTGTATTTCTTAGTATTTGTTATACTTACTGAAAAAAATTGTATATTCCCTGTTCTTAATTTTAAAAGAAGCCAAATGTTTCGTATTTCTCTAGCAAAAAAAAACATTAGTTTTTCCTTGTGCAGCCCTTCATTTTTTTCTGTGCATCATCTTCCCTCCATAGAAGAAGACTCCTACCCATGTTTAAAAATGGTCATTATTTTAGTCTTTCGAATTAAAAAAAAATTCTCTATTACTTTACAAATACCAATTTTTCTCCCAAATGCTAACTTAAAGCAAAATGCAAAAGTTTTCACAGTACAGAAAATTCTATCCGAAAATATTTTCCCTAATACAGAAACTACCCACTACTAGACAAATACATATTCTTCACATAGGCATAATACCTGATTTGTACCAAATGCTGATACAGAAGACTTTTTTGACAGTCTCACTTCTTTGTTTATGTATTTTAGCATTCCACTAAGAGTAGTGAAGTCATTATTTTGAGAAGCTTCATCATCATCTGGATCATATGTCACTGAGTCGAATACATCTGATGGAGTATAGAATGCATCTTTTTTATTTTCTTCCTCTGTTGGTAAAGGATTCTGAATGAGTACTTGCTTTAGATCCTCTAAGAGTTCTTCAGCAAGATCTTCATTGTCAATAGTCTTGACATTTAGGTCACTGGCACTAATAGAGCGACGCAATTTTCTAGATTTGAGAAATAGTGGCTGAGGCTGTTTGAAGAGCCTTGCATCTTGAATATCATACATAATTTCAGTAGGAGACAAAAGTGAGACTGGTAGATACTTTAAGCCTTCAGTCCTTTCATGTCCAGAAAGTTTGGCTTGCAACCTCGTTACCTCTGATTCCTACATAAAAATAAGAAACTTGGTCACTCACGTATCATGAATTTCAGACCCAGAAAAAAAGTAGTTGAACCTTTTATCCAGTATAGAATTACTTGCTACAGATATCTCTAGAAAAGAATTCACTACTCTTTGAGGCAAATCATCCCATTTCAGACAGCTTTGAGTATGAATTCGTCTTTTAAAGCCCTTTATAACTTGGACTCTTCCTACCTTTCCAGTCTTCTTACACCTTATTCCTTTCTTCACATACACTACAATTCAGTAACATTGGCCTCACCACTGTTCCTCAAACAAGACACTCCATTTCTTGACTGTGTTTTTTCTTTTTTTCTAATTCAATTTTATTTTATTTTCAGTTCTGAATTCTCTCCCTCCCATTTTCCTATCTCTCACCCATGGAGAAAGCAAGAAAAACAAAACTAATTAAAAATATATAGTCAAGAAAAACAAATTACCATATTAGCCAAGTCCCTCAACCCCCAAATTAACATATGCTTTAATCTGATCTCTGATCCACTACCCCTCTATATAAAGGTGGATAACACATTTTATCATGAGTACTCTGGAACTGCAGTTGGTTCCATTGTATTGATCAGAGTTCCTAAGTCTTTCAAAGCTGTTTGTCTTTATGGCATTGCTGTTATTGCGTTAATTGTTCCCATGGCACTGCTGATTTTACTTTGAATCAGTTCATACCGTTCTTCCCATGTTCTTCTGAAACCATCCCCTTCATCATTTCTTATAGCACAATAGCATTCCATCATATTCATTTACTATAACTTGTTTAGCTATTCCCCAACTGACAGCATCTTCTAAGTTTCCAATTTTTTGCTGTTATGAAAAGAGCTGCTATAAATATTTTTGTACATATGAGTTCTTTTCTTCTTTCTCTGATCTCTTTGGAATATAGAGTTAGTAGTGGTATCGCTGGGTCAAAAGGGACTATGTGAATTTTCAGTTTCCTTAGGCTTGGAATTCTCTCTCATCATCATCTCTGCCTTTTGGCTTTCTTCAAGTCTCAGCTAAAATTTCATTTTCTGCAAGAAGCCTTTCCCAGTCCCCCTTAATCAGGGAGGGGCTTAGTATCTTTCCTCTGAGATTATCTCTAGTTTATCCTTCACATCTTATTTGTACATTACATTTGTACATTACATATCCCCCATTAGACTGTGAGCTCCTTGAGGCCGGGATTATTTTTGCCTTAGTTTGTATCCCCAGTACTTAGTACAGTGCCTGGCATATAGCAGGCTTAAGAAATGCTTGTAGATTTGACATTTAACCACTCAAGGTAAGTCTGTTTTAAGTTTTTCCCATAATTTTTTTCCAGAATTAATGTTAGGATTAATTCCTTATTCAGGACTGGGGAGCTAAATAGGATAGGGACTGGACCTGTGGTTTCATTAACATAGGGACATCCTGAGTGAGCAAACTCTCTACCAATGCAGGATGGGACCTTTTCTGTAACTTCTAGTCTTAGAGATCATCAAGAAGTCTGCCCCAAGTCACGTTGTCAGGATGGGTCAGAGGCCAGCCTTGAATCTGGGTCTTCATAGCACCAAAGCCCCATTATTACACCCAGCTTTCAAGTTCTTCCTGGCTTAGTAGGCTACAAAATCATGGTGATACTATCCATTACCTCTCATTTACAAAATTTTACCCTCTTAGGCAATATATAGCTAAGCAGAAGGCCCTTTAAAAATATTTACATTACCTCATTCAACCCACAGGAAAGTGTGAAAAGTAAACAACCAATGATTTTATATTGACAGACACTACTTAATATAAAATGAATAGAATGGAAAGCATTAAAAATGATTCTCCCCTTCAGAACTTCCAAAAGATATTAAATGTGTATTAGGTAGCATTGCCTCCCCAAATGTCCCGTTTTTTATCAACAGAAATTATCATGAATAGAAATTCAGTTGAAACTATGATAAGGAAAGCTATGAGAAAAAAAAGATTATTGTTACTTAGTAAATCAATCTGGCATTGTATAAACATTCCATTTCTATTAGTTTTCTGAAATTTAGCACCTAAAAAGTATGAGGCAAATATAATTTGTCTATGCTTCTTTCTCTTTGCCTATATACATTGCCTTTTCAATATCTTTACAATCTATCTAAGTTCAAATTACTTACAGATGGATACTCAAACTACCAGTTTTTTCCATGGCAAATTTTTCCTTTGAGTTCCAATTAGCACATTTTATCAAAGTAGGCTACAAAATCATTTGCTGACACTAGACCGGTAGACAAAGGGTCTGTTCTTTAAACCAGTGTGCTTAATTACAACCTTTCCAACCCAATGAAAGTATAGAAGAAAAATACGATTAATCTGTAGCAGCTTATCTTGTGCTGGTCCATTATATAGTACTTATTTGGCATAGTTGTAGCATGAGCTATCCTAAATAACAAAGATTTATGTTATAACATTTTCATTTGAAGTTTTTTGGCAGATATCTAAAATACAGGACATGTCTCTGCTAGAAGTACAAATAATGTGGACTCAAACGTAGCTGTTTCTTGATGACCCAGGGTCATGATTAAGAACAGCATTTCTTATACAGTGCTTTGACCCAGGGATGCTTTCAGAAGGTCCTGGAGTGGCTGGCTAAGTCTTCTCATCCTCTCCCCCAGCTTTGCTTTTCTAGTGGGAGCTTCCTCTCTTATTCCTTCATGGCTATTTCTGTGCTTGGCTGATACTTTCTCTAAGTGGCTGCTGGTTGACTCCTGGTCATCTCTGCAGATTTGTTGACTGCTCCCTCTTCTTCTGCCTCTCTTCCCTGGTTTCCAGGCTTGTCTGTGCCAGCTAAAAAGCTCTTTTTTTTTCAGGTTGGCTCACTGAACAATTGTCATGTCTTCTGTCATTTTCATATCTTTAGGCTTTTTTTTTTAAGCAATTTCTATCTTTCATAAACACAAGGTATTTTTGTTTACTTGCAAGTCTGCTCTGTTTTGAACAGTCAAAAATCTGAACACTTGATAAGTGGAGTCTTATATTGCACTCATCTCAACATGATTTACGGAAACATAAGTTTTGGGAAATAAAATAGGATGGAGACGCTAGACAACCTTTTTCTGTCAGTCCTTTATAACATGGCTTCAATGTTTTGTTTAAAATAAAATTTCTCTTAAATATTATGGAACCACAGTCAGGATTACTCAGGACCTTGCAGCTTCTACATTAAAAGACTGAAGGGCATGGAATATGATATTCTGTAAGGCAAAGGAGCTTGGATTACAACCAAAGATCAACTACCCAGTGAAATTGAGCATAATCTTTCAGGGGAGGAGATGGACATTCAGTGAAATAGGTGATTGATGAAAAGACCAGAGATCAACAGAAAATTTGACTTTCAAATGCAAGACTCAAGACAGGCATAAAAAGGTAAACAGGAAAGAAAAAAACAACAATATGTTATTAATAAGGGCAAACTGTTTACATCTCTACAAGGGAAGATGACACTTGTAACTCTTGAGAACTGTATTGTTATTATGACATTCAAAGAGGGCATAGGTATAAGTTGACTTTGATGTGATGATAAAAAAAATCTACTTAAGTGGTAAAAAGGGTTTATATTGGGAGAAAAGGAAAGGAGGAAGCAGGCAAGGGTAAATTATATCACATGAAAAGGCACAAAAACCTAATATACTAGAGGAAAAGAAGGGAGGGAGATGAGCATTGTTTGAACCTTATTCTCATCAGATTTGGTTCAAAGAGGGAATAACACAATCAGTGAGGTATAGAAATCTAACTTAACATATAGGAAGTAGGAGGGGAAAGGGAAAAGAAAAGGGAGGGGGTGAATAGAAGGGAAGGAAGAAGTAGAAAAGGTAAAGGGGAAGAAAACAGAGGGAACTAATAGAAGGGAAGGCAGACTGAGGGAGGTGGTAGTTGAAAGCAAAACTCTAGTGAGGAGGGAAAGGGAAAAAGGAGAGAGGAAAGCATAAACAGAGGAGGGGGGGTGAATAGGATGGAGAGAAAGACACAGATAGGAATCATAACTGTGAATGTGAAAGGGATGAACTCTCCCATAAAACAGAAACGGATAGCAGAGTGGATTAAGAACCTAATTCTACAATATATTGTTTACAAGAAACACATTTGAAGCAGAGGGATGCACAGAGTAAAGGTAAAAGGCTGGAGCAGAATATATTAGGCTTCTTCTAAAGCAGGGTTAGTAATCCTGATCTCAGACAAAGCAAAAGCAAAAATAGATCTAATTAAAAGAGATAAGGAAGGAAAACTACATCCTGCTGAAAGGCACCCTAGACAATGAAGTAATATCATTACTAAACATTTATGCACCAAGTGGTATAGCATCCAAATTCTTAAAGGAGAAGTTAAGGGAGATAGAGGAAGAAATAGACAGCAAGACTATACTAGTGTATACTCTGTGTATCCCTCTGCTTCAAATGTGTTTCTTGTAAACAATTTATTGTAGAATTATGGTTCTTAATCCACTCTTCTATCCGTTTCTGTTTTATGGGATAGTTGATCCCTTTCACATTCACAGTTATGATTACTATCTGTGTCTTTCTCTCCATCCTATTCACCCCCCTCCTCAACCTCCCCCTGTCAGAACTAGATAAATCTAACCACAAAATAAACAAGAAAGAAGTTAAGTAGATGAATAGAATTTTAGAAAAGTTAGATATGGTTGACCTCTGGAGAAAACTGAATGGGGACAGAAGGGAATATACCTTTTTCTCAGTGGTACATAGCACCTCCCCAAAAATTGACCATGTACTAGGATATAAAAATCTCACAATCCAATGCAGAGAGGCAAAAATATTAAATATTAAATACATCATTTTCAGATCATGATGAAATAAAAATTACATGAAATAAAGGACCATGGAAATATAGACTAAAAATTAATTGAAAACTAAATAACCTAATCCTAAAGAATGAGTTAGTCAAACAACAAATCATAGAAACAATCAATAACTTCATCCAAGAGAATGACAATAATGAGACAACATACCAAAACAGCAGTGAAAGTGGTCCTTAGGGGAAGTTTTATATCTCTAAATGCTTACATGAATAAAATAGAGAGAGAAGAGATCAGTGAATTGGGTATGCAACTAAAAAAGCTAGAAAAAGAATAAATTAAAAATCCCCAATTAAATACCAAATTAGAAATTCTGAAAACCAAAGGAGAGATTAATAAAATTGAAATTAAGAAAACTATTGAACTAATAAATAAAACTAAGAGCTAGTTTTATGAGAAAACCAATAAAATAGATAAACCTTTGGTTAATTTGATTTAAAAAAAGAAAGAAGAAAACCAAATTATCAGCATCAAAAATGAAAAGGGTGAACTCACCACCAATGAAGAGGAAATAAAAACAATAATTAGGAGCTATTTTGCCCAACTGTATGCCAATAAATTTGATAATCTTAGTGAAATGGATCAATATTTACAAAAATATAAATTGCCCAGATTAATGGAAGAGGAAATAAAATGCTTAAACAACCCCATTTCAGATAAAGAAATAGAACAACCATCAATGAACTCCCTAAGAAAAAATCTCCAGGGACAGATGGATTTATAAATGAATTCTATCAAAAATTTAAAGAACAACTAATTCCAATACTATACAAACTATTTAGGAAAATAGGTGAAGAAGGAGTCCTATCAAATTCTTTTTATGATACAAATATGGTGCTGATACCTAAACTGAGAAGAGTCAAAAAAGAGAAGAAAAATTGTAGATCAATTTCCTTAATGAACATAGGTGCAGAATTTTTAAATAAAATATTAGCAAAGAGATTACAGCAACTTATCTCAAGGATAATACACTATGACCAGGAAGGATTTATACCAGGAATACAGGACTGGTTCAATATTAGGAAAACTATCAGCATAATTGACCATATCAACAACAAAACTAACAGAAATCATATGATTATCTCAATAGATGCAGAAAAAGCATTTGACAAAATACAAACCCATTCCTATTAAAAACACTAGAAAGCATAGGAATAAATGGAGTCTTCCTTAAAATGACAAGTAGCATCTATCTAAAACCATCAGCAAGCATTATATGTAATAGGGACAATCTAGAAGCATTTCTAATAAGATCGGGGGTGAAACAAAGATGTCCATTATTATCACCGTTATTCAATATTGTACTAGAAATATTAGCTTTAGAAATTAAAGAAGAAAAAGAAATTGAAGAAATTAAAACATAATTTCTCAGAACACAGCCATAATTCAACAAAAGTACAAAAAATGTGTTCAGAAAAGCTTCCATTAGTGTGGATAACAGAGAGAATCGCATCAGAAAAGGTATTAAGCTCTCCTAATTTTTTAAAAGTAGTCTTCTTAGCAGAGTTTTTGGATTTTCAGTAACTTTACATTCTATTAAACTTAAAAATTACTTTTTTTAAAGAACTTCCTGATTTTCAAACAGCTAGTTCATATTCTTGTTTCTAAGGCCTTAACTGACAAATTTAACATATATACCAGCAGTGTTGTGTGTTTTATCTTTGGGTACTAATAATAATTTCTAATTTCCAAAACTTTAGAAGCAGAGAAAAATAAAAGTGAACACCATATGTTTGATATTTACATACTAGTGCCTATACTCAAATCCAGTAATAGATAATGAAACTTTATGATTTTTCAACAGTTTAACAATCATTAATTCTGAAAAATTTTTCCAACTTTTTATTGGCATCAAACAGTAAAACATTATGAACCCTAAAGTAGGTAGGTCAGGATTAGGTGAATTTGTATTTAAAAGTTCACAAAACATTTTCCCTGTATAACATGAGAGAATATACCACATTAATAATAATAAACAGAATATATCACTACCTAAATTGGGTGCTTTTTTCTTAAACAGACAAACAAGTCTTTGTTGTTGTTCAGTTGTTTCAGTCATGTCTGACTCTTTGGGGTTTTTCTAGGCAAAGATACTGGAGTGGTTTGCCATCTCCTTCTCCAGCTCATTTCACATGAGGATGAGGAGACTGAGGCAGAGTTAAGCGGCTTGCCTAGACTCACACAGCTATGCAGGTATCTGAGGCTGGATTTGAATTCAGGAAGATGAGATTTAACACCCGTCACTCTATCCATTGTGCCACCTAGATGCCCCTATCACAGTCTTTCTCCAAGCAAAATGTAAAAGAAACATAAGTGATTAATTAATTAAAATTTTATTCATAAGAAACATATTTCTTTAAAGTCACTGCTTTAAAGTTTTCTATACTTTACATTCCACTTACTTTAACAAGCAATGCTTCGTTGGCAGCTTGAATCACTTCATTCTTGTCCTGCACTTGTTTATGCAGACTGCTTAATGTACCCTGAGTTTCTTCTAATTCATGTTTTGCCTTCTCTAATTGAATATTTAGTTGCTGAACTGAAGACTTCTGGTTGTCTGAAGACAACTTCCACTTTGTACGATTCTCTCGATGTGAAAGCATCTAAGTATTTTAGGACAAAAAGAAAATGTCATAGATTTGATTTGGTTTTATTCTTCCTTAATACTTCAGCTATTTAATTCAGCTTAAACATATGAGCAAAACAAGAACCTAGCTCTTTCTTTGACTATAAATGTCCTCATTTCTCCTATCCCCAAAGCTAGTTTTTCCACAAACCTTATTATTCAAGTTGCTTCTGTGTGAGTGGGTGGTTTTGAAATCTGCATTTTCCAACATCACTATTTAGAAGATCATCACTCTTTTTTCTTTAATTGACTCATTTTTATATTGAAATAATCTCCTATTTAAAATTAACCATCAATATACATCCAAAGAGAAAGACTATTTAAAAAATGGTATGTAGAGCAATAAAATAATACTACTACTAGGGACAAGTTTTACATTCTTTATGCAATTATTTCCAAAAAAAAATTTGAGGTTTCTTTTAAGTAAAAGATAATATAAAACAAGACAGTTAAGGAAAAAAACAGAACATCATCTAAAAAGAACATAGAGGGCATTACCAAGCATGCAAAATAAATGAGTTATTAGGGTTAGATATTTAATTTGGTTCTAAGTTTGTTTTCTTTTTACAGCTACAGGAAAAGAAAACAAACATATCTGTTGCAGAGACAAAATATTTTTTGGAACTAAATTAAAGAGGAATTTATTGTATGGGATATCTTTGTATAAGAGACACCACATAACAGAGTGCATAATACCTTCAACTACAATTTCATATAAGAAAAACACTGTTCAAATAAAAAATACTTTTATCAATCCTCTATAAAAGCTGAGCACATAATGCATAGTAACTGCATTTCTGTAGGAATGCTGAGATAACTGATCATGTAATTTGCTTTCAGATGACAATAAGACAAAAGTATAGGATTTGGAAAATCTATCTGAATGAACAAATGAATAAGCATTTATAAAGTCCCCGCTATGTGCCAGGCACTATGCTAGGAGACAGGGATACAAATATAACAGTGAGAGAATACCTGCAGAATGAATAGTTACTATTTCTATGAGGATCAACTTCAGTTCGTAACTGAGTGCTCTAATAAGTATTTGTAGTATGGATATTTTGTGTTGTTGGTTAACTTAAGGGTCATATGGCTTGGGCTAACAAATATGAAGGAAGCAAAGCCATTACACTGTTATGAAAGCTGAAGATCTAGAATTACATTCTTGTTAGACATAAGATACTTTTATGACTATTTTAAGACTGGTTCTCCCTTTCTCTTACAGGCTGGATTTTTGAGGACTCATCACAGACCCAATGTCACTCTGATTGGCACAGGATCTTTGATCAGCTGTTTCTATGTGGGGCCAGGTGTCCTGCCTTAGGCATTCTGGTGGCCCCCTGGCTTCTGGGGGCTTGTCATTTTAATGCCAAACTCAGGGCAGATACCTGACTAGTCTAGCCCACTGAAGCTCAGCCCTTCCAAGAGATTTGCCAGCCTCAACCTTCCTTGGTAGCAGGGATTACAGGTGTGCCTAAGCCACTTTGGATGGTAGAATTTCACCAGTTAATTAATCAATAACCACTTTATTCAGTATCTACTATTTTGATCTCTTACCATGCTAACTTGGTGACCTCAGCTCCCTGGAGCTTAATTATCATTTCCATGCAGATGACTACTGGATGAGTACATTCAGCTCTAGTCTCTTTCTAGTCTCTTCAGATGTCCATCTAAACTTGCCTACTAGATATTTCAAATCGGATCTTTCATAGGCATTTCAAACTCAACATATCCAAAACAAAAAAAATTTTTCCTTGCAAACCCACCCTTCTTCTAAACTCATGTGCACTTCTCTTTTTCTGTCAAGGGCACATGTCATCATCTTTTCAGTCAACCAGGTTTACAACATCAATGTCACCCCTACCTCCCACTCCCTCTCATTCCAAAGATCCAGTTTCTACTTACAAGGCCAGCACTCTGTTCAGATCAAAGCAAAGCCTCCTAACTGGCGTCCCTGCCACTCTGATCCTTCCACACTTGCTAAAGCCATTGCTCTACAGTGCAGGTCTGACTACATCAACCTCCAGTGGCTCCCTGTTGCCTCTAGTATGAAATACAAACCCCTCTGTATGGCTTCTAAAGTCCTTTATAACCTGGCTCCAAACTGTGTTCTGACTTCATAATCCATTAATGGCCTTCTTGCCATCTCCCTTCACTTGCCTTTTCTATTATTTTTTTGTTTGTTTGTTTTAGGCAATTGAGGTTAAGTGACTTGCCCAGGGTCACACAGCTAGTAAGTGTTAAGTGTTTGGTCTGAGGCCAGATTTGAACTCAGGTCCTCCTGACTTCAGGGCCTGTGCTCTATCCACTGCACCACCTAGCTGCCCCTTACTTGCCTTTTCACTAGCCACCCCCTGTGCCACAACTTTATCACCTCTTGGCATCCCTTGATTCCTTCAAAACTCAGCTCAAGCACCACTTCTATATTAAGTCTTTCCTTATCCCTCCAGTGCCAACATACACTCCCCAAAATACATGTTCTCTTCTCCCAATTGAATGTAAGGTCCTTGAAGGCAGGGATGTCTTAATATCCCATTATCCCTAGCACCTATTGCAGTGACTGGCACATACACAGTAGGTGCTTAATAAATGCTTGTTGACTGATCTTAGCAAGAAGACCAAGACATAATCCAATTAACACCAATACAGGCTTACTTATTCTAATTCAATTTGTTTTCTTTACCTCTAGATGATATGCTTCTTTCAGTGATTCTATTTCTGTTGACAGTTTCTTTACTTCTGCTTGCAGTCTTGCTTCCAGTTTAGTTTCACGCGCTTGTGAAGCTCCCAATTCTTCAGCCAAATGGTTTGCATGTGTTTCCTTCAAAACATACATTGAATAAAGGCGATTCAGTTATTTTCTTTTAATTTTTATTAAATCTAAAGTAATTCAGCAAATAAACTGAAATGAAGTTTGCAAAATAAATGTTTACTGAGTGGCTACTCTGTACAAGGCACTGTATTAGACACTGTGAAAGAAGCAGAGAAAAGCAAGACTAGATTCCTTGCCTATAAAATACTCAAAATCTAGTGCAATAATACATGCTTCTTGACATGGTCCTTTCAAATTTGAAGATGGGTATGATAAGGTCAACTATTCAACTATCTTCTGCAGGGCATGTGAATTGTTCATAGCAATAGTAACATGCGTCACAGTGAGGGAAAAATAGAAATAATACTATATAAGATCAGTATAATGAGGAAAATCAGTGTTTGTTGAAGTTAGTAAAATATTTAATTATATAATTAAGCAATGTAGACTAAAGACTTACTATTTCAGGTGACAGCTAGGTGGTGCAGTGGACAGAGCAACGGCCCTGGAGTCAAGAGGATCTGAGTTCAAATCTAGTATCAGATCAGACACTTGACATTTACTAGCTGCATGACCTTGGGCAAGTCACTTAACCCCAATTGCCTCACCTCCCCCCAAAAAAGAGACATTATTTCAGAGTATAGAAACTATATGGGCAAATGCCTATAACTATATCTATGTCTTTGTATAATACCTATATTATATAGCACTTAGATGCCTTTTGGCACTAGTATCATTTATTATAACCCAGTCAGGACTGGGGTTAAGTAAGGTAGGTAACTTTCTAGAGAATTTTCCTTTTACTCAGGAGTCCAAAGACATAATACCAAATGACCATCATGTATATATATGTATGTATGTATATATATGTGTGTGTATATATATGTACACACACATACATACGTATGTATATATATTCCTATATTGTCTGAGCCAAAAATATTTAAATGACCCCTCAAATGAATTAACATCCAACCAGTGTAAGGAACAAAGGATCAAAGGAATTTACCAGTGATCATCTCCAACAAGTAGATGGAAGGCAATCTCTATGTGGTCCTAGCAAAATTACTTCACTTTTAAATTTTAAAAGTTGTACCAAACTCATTTAATAAAATGTAATTTATTGCAAGAATCTAGGTTAATAATGTAGTCAATTGTTTATTCATTAAACCGGTTTCATAAATCCAAAAAATGGATACCATAATTTAATAACTTTAATAAAATAAAAATGTTTTTTATAGAAACCTTCTCTCTAGAAAGATGTTTTGTTTCTTCTAGTTTATTTGCGAGTCTCTCAGCTTCTCTCTGGGCTTGGACTTGTTGCCGGCGGGCCTCTAGCAGCTCCTGCTGAGTTCGCTGTATCTGCTCCTCTGCTAACCTCACCTGCTGCCCTAAATCCAAAGCTTCTTTGTATTGGGCTGCAATGCACTGTTCCTGCTCTTTCACAATCTGAAAAGTAGAAATCATTCTTAGGTTTCATGGAAAGGATGAAAGCTCTAATTTTTTCCTGATGCTACTTGAAAGAGTGGGGATAGTAAACATTCCAGTTCTGTCACTCATTACCTTATGACTCAGTGTAAATTATTTAATAACAGCTAGCAGTTATAAAGCACTTTAGGGTTTGTAAAGCACTTTACATATATTACCTCATTTGATTTTCACAACCTTGTGAGGTAGATACTAGTATTATCCCCATTCTACAGATGAGGAAAGTAAGGATTCAAGGAGTCAAGTGACATAACCAGTAAGTGTCCACGGCAAGACTTGAACTCCTATCTTCCTGACTCTAGGTCCAGCACCACCGTGCAGGCACCATGAACCTCTCTAGGCCTCAGTTTCCTCATTTTTAAATTGAAGGATTTGGACTCTTAAGCTTCAAAGGGCCCCTGCCCTTCCAGCTCTAGATCTATGATCTACATGAATTTTTTTTCAGATTGTGTTTCTTCTCAACCTCTTCATATACTAGGACATCTCATCTACTGTGAAACTTAACAGAGTGCTTCAGAAAACACCTAGCAACATACAGCCATTCCCTTATTTGAAGCACATTTTATCAGCACAATGTCACAAAAGAACATTTGTATGACCCCACAGCATCTTAGTATGTGCCAACCAAATAACAGGTCATAATCCTTTATTATTATAACAATAGAATATTTATGTCAGAAGGTAGAAGAAATCAGATAAAGCTACTTCAATTTCCCATGTTAATGATTATTATACTTGTGAAAGTACATAAATTCATATACATTCCGCCTTACTGTATCAAAGTCATAGCTCCACTGTTTGTTGCAAGAAATTTTTTTAATGGGAATCAGTGATCCCCTATCAACCAGAAGGGTCAGCATCAAGACCCAGGCAGCTCCCCTTCTGCTAGTCCCTTCTCTCTAAGTTTACCTTCCATCTACACTTAACAGGTCTGGTATGTAAGGGGCCTGAACGAAGGTAGTGGCTATGCGAGTGGAGAGAAAGGGCAGGAGGTAAGTGATGTTGTGGAAGTAGAAACAGTAAGATTCATCAACTGATTGGAAATAGGGGATGACGGAGAATAAGAAGTCAAGGATGATGCCAAGGTTACTAAGTAACTGAAAAAAATGATAATAACTTTGAAAGAAATGGGGAAGTATGGGAAAGGAGAGGATGTTGGGTCACTGATAAGGAGCTGAATTTTAGATATGTTGAGTTGCAGATGTCTCCAGGATGTCCACTTTGAAATGTACAAGAGGCAATTGGTGATATGAAACTGAAGCTCAGGGGAGAAACTGGGGCTAAATATATAGATCTGGGAGTTATCAGCATAAAGATAACAAAGCCATAGGAGATGAAAGTGTAAAGAGAGAAGAGAAGTGGGCTTAGGACAGAGCTTTGGGGAATAACCAAAATCAGTAGGTATAATATGGGTGATAAGTCAGCAAAACCATGAAAGAAAGAAAGAAAGGAAGGAAGGAAGGAAGGAAGGAAGGAATAAGGAAGGAAGGAAAAAAGGAAGGTAAGAGAAAGAAAGAAAGTAAAAAATGGTCATACAGGTAGGAGGAGAAGATCCAGGAGAGAATAGTTTCATGAAAACTCAGAAAAGAAAAAGCATCAGGAGGTCAACAGTTTCAATTACAGAAGATAAGTAGAGAAGTATTAGAACTAAGAAATCATCAGATTTGGTAATTAAGAGTTTAGTTGAGTACTGAGGTCAAAAGTCAAAAGGTTGAGGAGTGACAGAGTGAAAAGGAAGGAGACAGACTATGGACAGCTTGGTGGAGGAATTTGAGTGAGAAAGAGAAAAGAGATAGAAGGTGAGCCTAGAAAATAGTAGAATGCAATGAATTTATTTCTAAGAATGGAGTAGGTAGACCCTGGGTATATTTGAAAGCAGTAGGGAAGACAATAGATAGGAGGAGGTTGAAGACCAGAGGGGATGATTAAGGGAGTAATCTGCTGGTTTCCTTTTTCAGTTGACCAATCTGTTCATTTTATAGGACTTTGAATTCCTTTTCACAAAACTGGTCTTTACTATTTTCTAAGTCTTCTTATCTGGATATTAAAAGAGTAATAAAGATTACCATAATAGATCTTAATTGTTGTAGCTGCACACTGAGAGGTGATTCCTTAAGATAATTAGGTTCTACATTGTACACAATAACAGCCACATTGTGCGATGACTAATATTGATAAACTTAACCCTTCCCAGCAATACAAGGATCTAAGACATCTCCAAAGGTCTCGTGATGGAAAATGCTACCCACATCCAAAGAAAGAACTATGGAGTTTGCATGCAGATCGAAGCATACTATTTGCTATTTTTTTTTTCTCTTCTGTTGAGTTTTGTTTCCTTTTTCTGGCAGTTCCTTCTATTGATTCTAATTTTTACTTACAACATCACTAATCTGAAAATATGTTTAATAAGAATATATACATATATAAAGCCTATATCAGATTGTGCGCTGTATTGGGGAGGGGGCGTAGGAAGGGGGAGAAAAATTTTAAACTCAAAAGCATATGGAAGTGATTGTTGATAAGTCAAAATAAATTAATTTTTAAAAAGATAATTAGGTTCTAAATAAGATAGAAATATATTCTTTTAGGCCTACAATAAACAAAAGGTTAAGACTAAAAATCTCTATAAACTATAGTCCCAGATTATTTTAGGTAATCTGCTGGGATCTAGTACATGTGTAAATGGCTTGACCTTGGAGAAAAGGGCTACCTCATTATCAGAGACTGGGAGAAAGGAGAGAGTAGGGGATGTTATCAAGGGATTATTACATGCAGAGAAGAAGAGGGAATTCACTAGATTCTCAGCTGAGAGGGGAAAGAGGGAGATGTGGGAGGCCTGAGAAAAGAAGAGGTTTGAAACAACTTCTATGACAAGTGAGATAGGGAATTAATTAGGGTGGAATGAAAGGATTACTTTTTTATCATGAGGGTGTAGCTGAAGTTTGATAACATGAATTTACACTGTGATTGTGAACCTTTCTCCAGATCCATTCAGTAAAAGAAGCTGATGGTGGGAGTTAAGCCAGGGCTAAAATTTGGTAAGAGATAAGGGATTATAGGACAAAGAAGTGAATGACTAGAAAGTAGAAAATAATAAGAGTTGAGACTGAGAAGGGAAGAAAGTCAGAGAACTGGTAATGGTCTAAGAAAAGTACCGAGGAGTGAAGAAGGGATTGGAGGTAGTGATGAGGACAAAGAATAGGTATAGGTGAGGCACAGAGAGAGAGGGAATGACAGGAGATTATGGTCACATATGGAATGTCAGATTTTTGACCCAGGAAATAGAACACTTGTAAGTAATAGTGACATGAAGGGTGTGACCATCCCTGTTTGTGGAAGAAGTGCAATGAAGGTCAGGGAACTTGAGAGAACAGCAAAAAAAAAAAAAATGAAAGAGAATAGAAATGTGGTTGAAATGAGACCTAGAATTGTGAAAGCAATTCTAAAATCTTTAAGTAAGAATACAAAAGTCAATCCAACTAAAATTAATACTCATATGATATAAATGCCTTCACTCAACAAATTGCTTATTTCCTGGGTGCCAACTATCTGCAAAAGCACTGTGCTACCAGGATAAATATAATCTAGCTTTCAAGCTGGATTACTGTTTTAATTTTATGGTTCCTGAATATACTTTATAAGTATGTTAGTTTGTATCAGTACTGTTAGTCTCCAAATAAAACATCTCAAAGATTAGGCATTACATTTGTTTAATTCCTCTTTGGCAATAGCTATGGAAATGCCACACATAAACAGACTTGACTAAAATAATGACAGCAAATTAAAAACCAGGGAAACACTTAGCTGTGCATCAATTGTACCTCACTTAAAACAAAACAATATTCTAAAGAAGATAAATAAAGAGCTGATTCTTCACTTAGCAAAATTAACCACAGTACCTTTTAAAGATGACTTTCCTCCAGTGCATTGAAAGCATGATTCAATATCCAAAAATTTTATTTAAACAGTATTTTTAGGCACATACAGTTTGTAAAACAAGCAGTATAGTATAAACTATCTATGGAATCAGTATTGGTTAAATGGGTGCAAATGCCTGATATTTCTTAAAAACTGAGAAAATAACAAGAAATTTGATCAATAAACATTAAAGCACTGAGCAATGTCACTCATGCACAACAGAAGGGGAATGGTTAAACAAAGAGGTCAATTTTAATTCCTTAGGGGAAAAATCATTCAGAAGGATAACTTACATTCTCAGTCTCTGTAATTTTCTGTTGTTTTCTTTCTGTTTCCTTTTTCAATTGACTAATCTCCTGTACATTTTGTAGTACTTCAAATTCTTGTTCACGAAGCTGGTCTTTACTGTTTTGTAAGTCTTCTTCTAAGACTTCTATCTGGATGTTAAAAAAACTAAGGTTATCATGAGACAGCTTAATTGTCATGCTTACACACTGAGAGACAATTCCTTATTATAACTAGGTTCTAAATAAGACAGAAAGGTATCATTCTCTTAAGCCTGCAATCAACAAAATGTTGACTTAAAATCTCTGTAAACTATCTTGTTATTTGACACTATTTCATATTTTTTTAAAAAAGGAAAAGCTCTTATCATACTTATGGAAGTAATACAAATTACATCATATGCATTTACATGAATACAATTAAATACCAATGAATATTTCCATTTTATTGCCAAAATAATTAAACTTTGTTTTTCTGTCACAAATTGTAGTCATCTTTCTTACCTATTTATTTGGTCCACATAAATTTACAAAACTAAGTCTTTTATTTAAACTATAAAACTTACCCTGAAAAATTACTTTATGCCAGTGGCCTTAACAACTTTCCCTTCTGAAGTTCACTTGACTGGTACTCTCAATATTCTTTGCTATCTTTTGACCTCCAGAACACTTGTCTACCTGCACTGACTTTAGCACCTGCCTTCCTCTCACTCACTACATTCTTGTTATGGCAATCTCATCCAGTCCCATGGCTTTAGGATCATTTTTATGGGGCTGATTCCCAAATCAATCTGTATTTCCATCAATGGCCATTTTCTGAGTTATAGACCTATATTTCCAACTGTTTACATGGAATCTCTATCTGAATATTCCATGGCACCCCAAACTTAATACAACTAAAACAAATTCATCAGATTCCCCATGTTTCTGACTTTCCTATTTCTATTAATGGTGACAACACTTTTCTGTCACCCAAGTTTGAAACTCTGGACTTACCTTTGATTTTTCTTCCTTCTTCAGCCGCTATATCTTATAGTTGTTAAGTTCTCTTAATAAAATTTCTAAAATATCTCTCAGTTCTGTTGCCTCATGTCCATTCCACCACTCTGGTTTAGACCTTCTTGAGCTTTTCTTTAACCACTCAAAAACATTCCTGACTAGTTAACCCATCTCCATTCTCTGTCCACCCCAATCTGACCTTTACACATTATGAGAAATTTAAACTTTTTAATGTGCAATTCTAATTACATCATTTCCCTGCTAAAAATCCTCCAAAGATAGTTTTTAAAGAGTTTCCCACTGTACAATTTAAAAAATTATTTCAAGTCATGTCTGTTTTAACACAAAAGGATGTCAGGTTACAGGTTCAATTTTTGCATTTTTGGGGTATTGAGTGGTAAATTTTCTTTTTGCTGACATGGACTTCTAATCTGCTACCCAAAGGAAAAATTGCTACTTAAATATGAGTTATTATTATTGTTTTTGTTGCCTATGGTAGCCATTTTTTGCCACAACATTTGTAATAATATATTGTGTATAATGGTGTCATGTGTCTACATTTTAAATACAAGTCAGAGATTTTTTTTTACTATACTTACAATCCAAACTACTTAAGTTTTAGAGTATCCAAAGGCTTTATGAAGAATTTGTGTAATTAAGTTACCTGTTTATTAGATTCCTTAAGTTCTAGTTTTGTTTTCTCCAGAGTACCCTCTAATTTAATTATTTTTTGTTCCATTTCTCCCCTATGTTCACGAATAGTAATATCCAACTGTGTAACCTAAACATGAAAGCAAATAAATATACAAAATTGCTAAGGATTCTTTTCTAGTATGACAACAAAATTATCATTAATACTCATGTTTCTAATAATGTTGGTACAAAATATTTTGTAAAGAATTCATGGAAAGTGTAAAAAATTGAAACACATTTTCTCAAAAGTAAATTATTAAAGGACAAAACTATTAACTCCAACATTTTGGATCATAAATAGCCCACATATATTATGAATCTAATGAACAGAAATCTAATATAATCTCAAATGAGATTACTCGGACTATATTAGTTTTGTGGACAAAAAGATTGCTAGTTAAAAAACAAACAAAAAAAACCCCAACTCCTCCACCCAAAGATTATACTTAAAAGTTGCCCAAAATCTTATTTCTTTTATCACTCTTCAAACTCCCTTCTCCCCCTTCTAATAACTAGGGAACCAAATCCTTTAATTCCTGTTTTATTACATTTTATAGGGGCAGCTAGGTGGTGCAGTGGATAGAATACCGGCCCTGAAGTCAGGAGGACCTGACCTCTGACACTTAACACTTACTAGCTGTGTGACCCTGGGCAAGTCACTTAACCCCCCATTGCCTAGCCAAAAAATAAAAATTAAAAAAAAATTAAAAACCAATTACATTATGTAGCCCAAGGGGCCTCAAAGACTCAGATGCCCCAGTCTTGTAACTTGAGAATTCATATGTCAATTCAGCAAATGACATCAAACTCTAAGTGTGTGGCAATACACAAATCTACAAAAGTATCATTAAAGAAACTGACTTGAGCTGCTCTTTGCTTCAGTTCCCAATTTCTATCTTTCAGTGCCTGGTCCATGTTAAGAAGCTCTTGCTTCTTGTCCTCAATATCAAGCTTGCACTCTCTACAATTTGACAAAGGAAAATACAAAGAACAAAAGGGATACTGAAAATATTTTTAACTTTATTAATAGATACAATTCAACTAGTAGTTTTCCCTGGAAGCTATGAACAAAATACATTTTCACATCAAAGAATCTTTTGAAAGATAATTGAATAAATAGCATCAATATTATTACTTGATCACAGCATTCTCAAAGGCAAAATAATGTTATTTCACATTTTGTCATTTCAAGATGAATTATTAGAAGTTAGTTGTCAAAGCACAATCATAACCAAAGACTGGTTTGGGTAAGAATTAAAAACCATATTCATAATTCTTTATTAATCAAGGCTAGCAGTCTTTAATTTGACTTTGAAAGGCAGGATATTATCATAGTCAGCAAAAAGGTATTTATAGCATGGCTGATTATCTCTAATGTCCATCTCACAAATGGGACTGGCGTTGAATTGTTTATGTTCATTTTACTATCTCTTTGGGATGAAAATGATGCTTTTTAGGTATGGAAGAAGATGTAAGTTTAATATAGATGTATATTTTATATGATCTATAAAGTTTCTTCAGATATAATTTTTTAAGTGTAATTCTGAAAGTCTCAAAATGACTAACATTAATATCTTTTGTTTCAAAACTGCTTTTTTTCTTGTCTCTGAATCATGTTACTTGCTAAAGCAGCCAAATTTGGATTGCAACCCAAGTAAAAAAAACTTGTAAAACAGATTTCCCTCTTTCCAAAAAACCTTTGAAATTATTAAGCTCAGAAGTAAAGTGGGACTGAGATATTACTCCTATCTTTAGGATTTTGAAGCAACTGAGATGAGGGAAAAGGACATTTTTTTAAATAAAATTTTTCTATCCTTTATCCCAGTCTGATACAAATTTGGAGAATAACCTATTTAGAGCTCTTCTGAAAATTTTTTGAAAAGGTATAAATCAAAAGCAAACATTCATACTGCTTAGAAACAAGGTACTAAGGATTCTCTGAGGTAAGGATGACAGGCTTTCACCTGTCCAGATCTTGGCCTTTTTAGAATTCTGGGTTAAATGGATTATTTTAGGTCTGGCCTAGAAGTTGGGGACTCCTAAGCAATGTTGTTAATAACAACATATTTACATAACAATTGTAAGGCTTACAATGTGCTTTTCTTACAATGACCTTGTGAGGTAGACTATACACATATGTTACACCCAACTTACAGATAAGAAGTTGAGCTCTGAGGGCTTAATAATAAAAATTCACGTGTAAAAAGCACATTAATGTTTGTTTACATTTGTATACATTCTCACAACAACCTTGTGAACTAAGTGTTACAGTTATTATCATCACCATTTTACAGATAAGGAAACTGAGGCCAAGAAAGGTTCAATGATTTTCCCCCGGGTCATAAGGATAGTAATTGTTGGAGATGCTCACTCCTATTCCTGGATCCCACACTAAAGAATTGTCTAAGTTGAGCTCAGTCCTCAATCTGCTTCGGTTATGGAATAATTCCTACATACTGCTTCTCATAGCCTATCTTTCTGATGCAGCTCCTTAGCCCTATTCGCTTCTGCCAAACAGTAACCTAGCACTTACTGTTATTAACCCCTAACATCCCAGTGCCAATGGCTCTAACCCAATGGTGACCCACGGGGCTAAGCGCAGGAGTGGAGATCCTATGGCCTTGAGGTCACACGTGGCCCTCTAGGCCCTCAAATGCAGCCCTTTGACACAGATTCAGTGAAAGGGCCGCACTTGAGGATCTAGATGGCCACAAGTTTCCCACCCCTGGCCTAAGGCTATCTTTGGCATGAAAAGAGCTAAAGCTGTGAACAACATGGCACAATGACAATGGAGATTATCAGTCTGATAGATGGATAGTTTGGGGAACCAGGGTAACCACAATTTCATGTATCTGGGTCCTTTCTGATTTCAAGTAATTTGAGAAGGCAAGGTTCTACTGTGAAATAATTTCATAGTATCACTTAAAAATGCTTTAACTCACCTGAGTTCAGCTGTGAGATCCTTTATAGTGGAATACTTTTCCTCTAGAGACATTTGGGCATTCTGCAGTACATCTCGCAATTCTTGTAGCTGTTTTAAAGTATTTTTTAATTCTACATGAGCATTTTGCAGTTCAGTCTCTAGCTCTTCTCGTTTCTGCAAGGCTTCCTTTAGATCTTTTTGAGAATGCTGCTGTAGTTTTTCTAACTCTTTCACTGTTATGAGGGAGAGTAATTTAAAAACCATAATCTAATATTTCAGTATTGAGATCTCTGTAAATAATCATAATTATGAACAACCAAATTTGAATCATATTCAAGTGATTATAAGGAAAAAAAAAAGAGGAAAACAGTAAACACTCATAGTCCCTTCTGATCTCACAATCCTAAATTCTCACTTTATTACATTTCCAAAATCAACCAAAATTAACATTCATTTATTAATTGACTATTATATGCCAGGTATAGGGTTATGTGCTAGGACACAAATACAAAAGTGAGACAGCCCCTGCCCTCAATGAGCTTACATTCTACCAAGGGGATACAACATGTTTACAGTTAAGTACATACAAGATGTAAACAAAATAAATACACAGTGATGGGGTTGAACTAAAAACTGAGGGAATCAGAAAAGGCTTCTTGAAGTAAGTGGCATTTGAGTTGAGTTGAGCCTTGAAGAAAGCTAGGAGTTGCAAATGGCAGGGTTGAGGAGGGCAGGCATTCTAGGATGGGGGACAGACTCTGCACAGGCATGGAGGTGGGAAATAAAATGTCACATAAAGGTAGTAGTAAATAGGCCAGTGTAACTGAAGCACAGAATGCATGAGGAAAATGCGGATTAGCCTGGGACAATAAGTTGAAGAAAGAGTGTGAAACGCTTTAGATACCATCCAGAGTGTTTCTACTTAATCCTAAAGGCCACAGGGAGTCACAAAAGCTTCTTGTGTCTCCGGAGGAGTGACAGGGTCAGGTCTGTGTTTCAGGGATATTACTTTGGCAGAAGTGTGGACAATGGATTATAAGAAGAGAGACTAGAGGCCAATGAAGAGGCTAAGAAATTGGTCCAGGTGAGAGGATCTACACTATGGTATTTGTGGTACAAGGAAAGAGAAGAAGATGAATATAAGATATGGTGATGAGGAAGTTTTGACAACTGATCGGACATGGGAAGTGAAGGAGATGAGGGAAGAGTGGGATATGATTCTTGGTTGCAAACTAGGTAATTGGAAGATTCCTAACTCAATAGAAATAGGGACGTTATGAAGATGGGTAGGTTTAAGGGGAAGGATCATGAGTTTTGTTTTGGACATGTTGAGTTTGAGGTGCTCATGGAACATCCAGGTAGAGATGTTCAAATAGCAGCCATTTGTAAGTGGGGGACTGGAGGTCAGAAGACAGATGAGGGCCAGATATGTAGACTGAGGAGTCATCTACAAAGAGATGATAGCTGAATCCATGGGAACTGATGAACTCATCAAGAGAGAGCGCAGAGAGAAGAGAACATCATCTAGGAGAGAGCCTTGGGACACACCCACACATACAGTATAGGATGGATGATGAACCTGCAAAGAAGACTGAAAAGCATTAAATGGACAGGTAGGAAGACAGTCATGACAGATCAGCATCATAAGACCTACAGAGGAGAAAGTACACATAAAGAAGGAGTAGACAACAGAAGCTAAGGATGATTAGAACTGAGAAAATCAAATTTAGCACGAAAGAGGTCGAACAAAATGAGCTGACAGCTAAGCCCAGCTAAGCTATTGCTTACCAGCTTTCACTTTTTTATCTAGTTCTGTCTGTGTTTGTTCTAAGGTCATATCTAAATGATTTAACTGGATTGTTTTATTCTCTCCATCCCGTCTCAGGTGAAGTATTTCTTTCTCCATTTGAACCAACTCATCCTTGCACTGATCCATTTCCAATTTTATGTGCCTGAACAAAAAGGAAATAAAACAAATAACAAATGAAAAATTAATTCCAGTACTTAAATTTTATTGAATTTTATGACATATTCTGACTAGGCAAAATTTTAAGATGCTAAATGACAAATGACACTAAAATTTTTTTAATTAGGCCTTCAGTGTAAAAAATACCCAAATATATTTACTTTTATTCATATGACATAGTTACCTATTAACAAAGGAAATATGAAATATCTAACAATACTAGTAGTAACATGTGGCTCTGATTTAACAAGGCCAGGCATTTCTTCTAGAGCAGTTTTTAATTTTAATTTTATATAGCTTTTTGTATGCTAAGGAGATACCATGATATTGCATATCTGGAGATCACTTAATTAGCAGCCTCAAATACACAGAATATGACACAGCAAATCAGAAGACAAAGAAAGGCCTCTGCACAGCCAAAACAGACATCCCAAAGTCCACATGCTAAAGTCCTTCAGACTCTCAACCCTAACACGAATAAACTACATGAATACTAGAGTTCTTTGCAGCTCCAAAATTCTATTCTGAATCTAAATTTAGTTATCCAGTTTTCCAGCTCAAAGCAGATAAAGAATAGTAAATTAGAAAGATTGGGAGGTTGCTAAAGATAGGCATAGTGACAATCTGCCAGCAATGGAAGAAAACTCATTATTAAAAGCAAATAACCTTCAAAATATAATAATTTGGGGCCGTTCAGCCCAAAGGCAAACAATCCTGAATATTTCAAAAGTGACCCTGGGGTGTGGGGGGAGCTAGGTGGCACAGTGGATAGAGCTCTTGCTTTGGAGTCAGGAGGACCTGAGTTCAAATCTGGCCTCAGACACCTGACACTTACTAGCTGTGTGACCTTGGGCAAGTCACTTAACCCTGATTGCCTCACCAAGAGAAAAAAAAAAAGCAAAAAAAAAAAAGTCATGGAGACTGGGCTAATCTGGTAAGCATGAGAGGCAGCACGGCATGCTGCATAGAGGTAGTGCTGAAGCCACAACAGACCTGCCTCTGATACATACGGGCATCTGCTGGCCTGTGCTTTGGTCTGTGAGCAACCACAAGCACTCTCCTTTGCCCTAGAACTGGGGCCAAGGTCCCTGTACCCCTTCAGTCACAAGAGCTAGTGAGCTAGTCTTCCACTTGGCCCTGGGACCTGGACCAGGAACTACATATGGGCAGTTAGATAGGGTCCTGCACACAGTGCCAGCAAAGGTCCTCCACAATCTCCTAACCAGTTGTCCAATCCCTTACTGTCTGTGAGTTAAGATCGTCCAAAGCTGCTGCTGCCACTGATCAAGCGCCCCCAACGCCTGTTGCTGGCACCCCAGCATGTCCCGTGCTGCATGGTCTGTATTGGGCTCCAGGTCTAGCCACCACCCCACTGAGACTTATCTGCCAATCTCCTAAGTGGTTCTGGGCTGGAAAGTTGTTTCACCCCAACCTGTTGCTGGTTCTGCTACTCTAGAATTCTATTTGAGGTATTATTTTAAGGTTGTATGCAGGGGCATTTGGGAGAGCTCAGGTGAGTCCTTGCCTTTACTCCACCATCTTGGCTACACCTTCCTCCCCTTTCTATATCCTTTGTATCCAACAAGTGTTTAGTTGTACCTCGCATGGCAAGTACTTAATAAGTGCTTGCAGACTGATTGGTAATCAAAGTTTTACGTTAGTTTTGCTTGTCCCTTGAGACACATGAAGATGGAAAACTCAAGAAATTCACTTATTATAAACACTTCTAATACTCTAACTCGGACACTGTCATCTTCAATTACTTGATCCACACCCTGGCGTCCAACCTAAGAAGCTGGGTGTGCATGATTTAAGTCACGTACACATAAAAGCAGCAGTGTGACCAGATAGATGGAGAACTGGCTTTGGCCAGTTTGGAGTCCATGAGATTTGAATTCAAATTTCATCTCTGACACATGTCACCCACGGTCAGTCAGTTAAAATCAGTGCCCCAGTCACTCAGATACCAGCTCCCCAGACCAGTTCTCCCAGGCTGCCAGACAAGCTGTAGAGGGAGCTACTGTTCTACATCTGGAGGGGGTCTTAAAACCAGGAGTTCCTTCCATTTTTGAAATATCACAGGCCCAGATCAAAATACATCCATAGCCACGGAGTGGTATGTACACAGTATAGATTAAATGATAGTCTCTAAACATGGTAAAAAACAAATGTTTTTACAAAGAATATTTAAGAAACATTTTAGGGGATTGAAAAGCTAGTGGGAACGGAACAGCTGTAAGACACAGGGCACAATCACCAAAGTAGAATTACCAAAACATGAGTAAAAACACAACAGCTCTGTCATCTGGTTAAGATGAGCAGGTGCAAATAAGTAAAATTTAGATAGGCAATGTTATTGTTATAAATACTCCTTCTATCAATACACAATCTAAAATTTGAAACTATCATACTTTATAGCTTTTATAGAAAGGAAAACTATTTAGGAATAATAAGGAAAAATTAAAGTTGTACCTGGCAGTGCTAGTAAGCTCAATAACCTTCTGCCTTTTTGTATCTGCTTCATGACAGGCTGATTCAAGTTTCTCCTCCATTTTTCTTAACTTTTCTGCAGAAATTTCTTTTTGTTTTTGAAGTTCTTGTTCCAGTTTTGATACCTTATGAACAGTTTTCAATTTAGTGTTTTAAACTCTTAAGTTACAGTTCAAGGTTTCCTATACTAGTCTTTAGAAGAAAAATATTATGAAACTACTTAACTACACTAACTCAAAATGGACTGCTCCAAAATCAAACCAGGGCACAAGAAAAATACAAATCTTTAAAAGATAAAAGGACATGAATTTCTCTTAATATGCTTACTCAATTAATATAGGGCTCTATGCTTGGCCCTATTCTGCTCAATATTTTTTAGCCATGGCTTGGATGAGAGGGTTTATCAAAAGAAAGGGTATTGTTTATCAAATCTGTGAAAAACATGAACCTGGGATGAATAATTAATATGGATAACAGATGAAACAATCAGTTTTCAGAAATATCTTGACAGGCTAAAATGCCAACCTAAACCTAAGAAGGTGAAACTGAATAGCATTACACTTAAGCCTATTAAAGTTTGATACTTGGGTTTAAAAAAATCAACGGCATAGGAACCTAATGGGGGAAGACATGGCTACAAATAGTTAATGTGTAAATAGACCTAAGGGGTTCCACTGGACTGCAAGCTCAATATGAATCAGTGTAGTAACATGGGAGCCAAAAAACCTACTGAATCCTTCAGCTGTATTCAGAGATAGATTCAAATACAAATTCAAAATGAATATGATTATCCCACTATACACTTCATGATCATAATACTGATATCTTGAGTACAGTATGTACTATTCTGGGTACCATATTTTAGAAGAGACACTGACAAGATGGAGTGAACCTGGAGAAAGGGAATAAAAGTATGCCATAAAAGGATCATTTGAAGGAACTGATGTTTATCCTAAAAAAGAGGTGACTTCTTAAGGGAGTGGGAGAGGGTAGACGAGAGAATTCTTCAGGTATCTGAAAGGCTATCAAATGAAAGAGAGAGATTTAACTTTTCCTGCTTGACTCTAGAGAACAGAACTAGGAGCAATTAGCAGAAACTGGTGGGAGATGAATTTCAGCTTAAGTTAAGGAAAAGCTTCCCAGCAATTATATTTCCCCCAAATAGAGTGGCCTGCCTCAAGGTGAGGTGTGAATGAATTATTTTTTTTTTAATTTAGCAGTAAATGGGAGAAGAGAAAAGAGGAGAGCTTGAAGAGAAAAAAGTGCCATAGGTAGGTGATTTTAGAGTATATTATATCATTCAGTCAACAACAGTCAGTCAGTCAATAAACATTTATTTTTCTATTTTTTTATTTTTGGCTACGCAATGGGGTTAAGTGACTTGCCCAGGGTCACACAGCTAGTAAATGTCATCTGTCTGAGGCAGGATTTGAACTCAGGTCCTCCTAAATCCAGGACTGGTGCTCTATCCACTTCGCCACCTAGCTGCCCCTCAATAAACATTTATTAAGCACCTACTCTGCCACACATTGTGCTAAGAAGTCCTGGGATAAAAAAAAGAGCGAACACAAACAACTAGTCTCTGCCTTCAATGAGCTCAGAGTCTAATGGAGGAAGACAATACATAAAAAGAAGCTTTGAAAGGAATGGTGAAGAAGGAAGGGTATCCAACTTGGGATAGCTGGATGGGAAATTACGATATGGCTGCCCTGGGCACCTTCTTCGATGGAAGATCTGGGAGGTGTTCTCTTGATCTCCACCCTCTTCAATTAGAGGGAAGGAGGTGCCCCAGAGGGCAGAGGGTACTGAGGAGCTGTGAGTTTCAGAGTTGATGTGAACTTGCAGGATGATGAGTTTCTGGAGACAATGATGATGCCCAGGAGAGCAACTGGGAAGGAAATGAGCACATTTATAGGAAGAGATAAAGGAGCCAGGGGAAAGGCAGATATTGAAGATCCAAGAGTTGGAATGATTTATGAAACAAGGTTCAGAAAGAGTATGAAGGAATGGCAGCAAGGACAAAGGTGGAGAGGAGATGTATATATCTCCATATACATTTGTATCTGTAGCTATATCTATCTGTCTGTCTGTCTGTCTATCTATCCATATACACAAAGATATATTTGTGAGGTATCTTCCTAAAGATGATAGTTAACTCATGGGAATTAATGAAATTACTGATACAGAGTACGGAAGAGAAAAAGGCCTCAGAACCTTGGGGAACACACATAGTTAGTGAGCTATGGTGATGTGCCATCAAAGGAGTTAGAAAAGGTGTGGTCTGAAAAATAGTAGAAGCAGGAGACAGCAGTGCCCTTAAAACCCAGAAAGCAGAGTATGCAGGAGTAGAGAGAAGGTGGTCAACGGTGCAAAATACTGCAGAGAGGTCAAGATGGCTGAAAACTGAAAAAAGACCATCAGATTCTATAATTAAAAGATCACTGGTAACTCTGGAGAGGGCTGTTTGAGCTGAGTGATGAGGCTAGAAGCCAGACTGCAAAGAGCTGTGGGGTGAGAGAAGAGGAAGTGGGAACACCAAATACTGACAGAGAGGAAAGACACAAGATGATATCTTGAAAATCTGGCAGGATCTAGTAAAGGTTTTCTTTTAAAGATGTGGAGATTTAGGCACGTTTGAAGGCAGTCAGGAAGAAACCAGTAGATCAGGAGAAGTTGAAGAAGGGGGGCAGGAAGAAAAGAGTGGAAGGTAATGTCAAGGTGTTTTGAGATGAAATTTGGAAAAGTGAGAGTTTATATATAATGGCTTCAATTTCCTCAATAAAATAAGAGGTGAGGTTCTAACTGGAGTGCTGAGGTGTGCAGGAATGGAGTTACAAGAGGCTTAAGGAGGAGAAAGTTTGGAACAGCTTCAAGGTGAAGGAGATGGGGAATCAATTAGGGAAGAATAAGGACTGCTTTACTGTAAGGAGTTATTATTCAGCTGAAGCTGGAGAATAAGATCAATTAAGATTAGATCAGAGAAACGTGGATGGTAGGAGTAATCCAGGGCTGAGATTTGGGAAGAGATAAGCAGCCTCAGTTTGTTGAATGATTGGTTCCTGAAACAAAAGCCCACCACTTTAACGTCAATATTCTTCCAGTGATCCTACGTAATTACAAATAATGGCACATACTACTGCAAAAATTAGTGCAAAGTATATAATCAAAGGGATATATGACCCGAAAAAAATGGGTTGGTTATGGAGTGAGAGCAAGCATTAACAAGTGGACAGACTGTATCCTGCATGGAGAGCTATGCAATGTCAAGAGAACTACAAGGTGAGGTCTCCAGCATACTGGGTGGATTTCTGGTGCAGAATTTACCAAAGGAAAAAATAATAACAGTTGACATTAATGTAGTACCTTTGAGGTTTCCAAAGTGCCTTCTAAACATTAATATATTTGAGACCTAAAACAACCCTGTGACATAGGTACTTTACCTCATTTTAAAAATGAGAAAATTGAGGCTTAGGGAGGTTAGGTGATTTCTCCCCAGTAATACAGCTAGTAAGTGCAGGAGAGGCACATAGAATGAGAAAGTATGGGCTATAATCTGGACCTTTGGAAGGAATACCCATATCAACAAGGCCAAAAAATCACTAAAGTATTTAAAATACAAAATGAAATGGCTAATTTAAAAAATTTTTATTTTCTACATGAAAGATACCTGTTTTTCAAGTTTAGCTTGAGAATCTTCTAGTTCTCCATTTCTTACAGTCTCATCTTGTAACATCTGCTGCTGTTGCTGCAAAGTGTGCTGCAAGATAACATTTTGTTTGGTAGTCTCTTGCAGACTGTGAGTTTTTAATTTTAGCTCTTTCTGCAAACAATACACCTAAAAACACAAAAATGTATTATGATAATATAGTATTTCATAAGAAAAGCAATACAATTTCAGAATTGGATCTACTCACCTTACACAAAATATAAGGTAATACCTGAAGAAATGCCTTCAATAACGAAAGTATTCACCTACTCACTAGAATTTCAGCTCTTCCTATTTCAGTGAGTCTGCTCCTTCCACTACCTCTACAGGAAACAGGGGGTCATAATAAACGTGAGAGAATGACATGAGTTGAAATAATGTTCCATCATCATCATTCTTCAAACATTTGGAGGAGGGAATAATAGCCACATAAGAATAGAATAAGAAAATATATTCATTAGTAGCTTATGTGTGCTCACAAAATTCCTACCTGAGAAAAATTTATTTCAAAGAAACTTTCCCTTGCTTAAAAGAATAGTACTGAGTAGTATTTCTTTATATGATCAAGAAGGAAAATAGAATATTCTTTAGAAAATAAGGTGATAAAAAGATAAAACCAAGTGCTGTGTATGACGCAAGATTAACTCTGGAGAGGGGTTGAGAAAATACACCTCCTTCCATTCAATGTAGAGGTGGAACAGTCTTCCTGCATTGCATTGTCAGACTTGGTTGATGTTGGTTAGTGTTACCAAACTACTTTTTTTCTCCCCTCTTTCTTTTTTAATCTTTGTCACAAGGTGTGGCTTGCTTGGTAGGGAATGAGGAAGAGATAAATTCAGAAATAAAAATGAAACAGAAATTAAAGATATAAATATAATTTTTAAGAAGATAGTGAGAGAACTATAATCATAGGCTTCTTCCTAAATGTCTCACCTCCATTCTTGGGCTGTGCCAATGTAATCAAAACAATGGTGTACACCTAAATTATTTTACTGATTTGGTGATATATGAATTAAATTACCAATGGAGTACTTTATAGAGCTAGGAAAAATAGTAAAATGCACTTGGAAAAACAGAGGGTCTGGAATCTCAAAGGAAATAATGAAAAAAGGAGGAACGAAGGAGGCATTCATAGCATTATCAGATCTTAAACTAACTTTCCCTTCTCATCTCTGCCTACTGAAGAAGTAACCACCAAAAATATTTGGTACTAGTTAGAAAATAGAAACATCTTAGTGGCACAGACTAAACATGCAAAATTCAGAAGCAGAAATGTTTAGAGCAGTGTTTGATGATAACATTTATGTCCAAAGGCATAAATTGCTAGTGAAAGATTCCTGATTTGACAAGAGCTAACTTATGGAAGCCCTTAAAGCAATGCAGTAAAAATTAAAGTTAGATCAACATCATACACCCTTTACCACACTGAGTCGACAAGTTGATAAGTACTTATTAAACACCTACTATGTGCCAGGCACTTTGTTAAGCACTGGGGATAAAAAGAAAGTAAAAAGAATCACAGCTTTCAAGGGCTCATGGTCTAACGGAGGAGGCAATACGTAAACTATGTACAAAGAACATGTGCACAGGATAAACTGGAGAAGATCTCCCAGGGAACGTACTAGCATTACAGATTAGAAAAGATATCTTGCAAAAGGTAGGGTTTTTAACCAGCTTTAGGGGAGGCTGGAGAAGCCAGGAGGCACAGAAGAGGAGGGAAAGAATTCCAGAAACGGAACCAGTGAAACAGCTCTTGAAGGTGAAGGCACAACCACCACCACCATGTCATTGTATCAAAGACTATGTGGAGGGACAAATGAGGTGTAAGAAGACTGGAAAGGCAAGAGGCGGGGCAAGTTATAAAGGTCTTTAAAAGCCAAAGGGAATGTAATTGAAAATACTGTACCACAAGAAATGACTTCAGAAAAACCTAGAAAGACTTATATGGACTGATACTGAGTGAAGTGAGCAGAACCAGAAGAACACTGTACACAGTAACAGCAACATTGTGCAATGACTAACTTTCATAGACTTGGCTCTTCTCAGCAATGCAAGGATCTAAGACAACTGCAAAAGACTCATAATAGAAAATGCTATCCACATCCAGAAAAAAAGCAACAACTATGGAGTCTGAATGCAGATCAAAGCATACTATTTGCTCTCTCTTTTTTGTTGTTGTTGTTTCATTTTGTTCCTTCTTTCTTGTGGTTCCTCCCATTGGTTCTAATTCTTCTTTACAACATGACTAATGTGAAAATATGTTTAACAGGAATGTATATGTAGAGTCTATATCAGATTGCATGCCGTCTCGGGGAGGGGGAGAGGGAAGAAGGAGGGGGAGAAAATTTAAAACTCAAAAGCTTATGGAAGTAAATGTTGAAAACTGAAAATAAATAAATAAAATTTTTAAAAAAGAAGTTAAAAAATCCAAAGGGAAGATTTTTATATTTCATCCTGGTGGTAATAGGGAGCCACTGGAGTTTATGGAATAAGGGGAGTGGGGGAGACGAGACACAGTTGGACTTGTGCTTTAAGAATATCAATTTGACAGCTGAGTGGAGGATGGACTGGCATATGGAGAGATTTGAAGCAGGGAGACCAACCACCACGCTACTGCAATAGTCCAGGTATGAGGTAACAAAGTTCCAAAGTTCCATACCACACAGATAGCAGTGTTAGAGGAGAGAAGGGGACATATCTGAGAGGTGTTACAAAGGCAGACTCAACAGGAGTTGGCAATTGATTGCATAGAAGGGTTAGAGTGTGAGAAACTGAGGGTAACACATGAGTTGCAAGCCTGGGTGAAGGGGAGGGTGGTAGTCATTGTAAACCTGATATTCCACTGCAATGAAATATTTTGGAATATATAATTATAATAATTTCCAAGGGCAATATTTCTGGCCACGAAACAAACATTACAAATTAGGGCTTGATTTATTATTTTGTTGATTGTCTAGACTTAAGAAATTGCTAATAATTCAGGTTAAGCTTAAAAGAACAAATGCTAGTTTCACAGTTTATTCCTAGAGATCATGGAAACATTCAGGAGCTAAAAAAGCTCTCTCTTACGTACTTCTTGTTTTTCACTTTAATCCTTAGAAGGAAAGAGAAAATAGCACTCCCTCTTGCTTCACAGCCAGAAATATAAGTGCTTTGTCCTTATTTTTCCCTCTTCCAGATTTATACCTTAGGTGCAACACATAATTTTGGAAATTGCTTTGATAAAACCCTACTAGTCACCTAGAATCATTTCATAAATATGATCCTGTACCTCACCCGTAACTGGTAAATTACCTCTTCAGATTTCTTCTTTAGTTGTTTCTCAAACTTGTCCTTGTTTCCTTCCAGTTGGCTCAAATGCACAGCCAACTCTTCTTTACACATATCCAGGGCTGACTCTAGCTGTTTGACCTAGTTACAGGTAACAAAACAGTCAAACAAGGAATGCCTAGAGAGACACATGATCCATAAAAGGAAGCTACTCTCCCCACCCCGACCCCAACCTGATAAGTGTCCAGTCAATGCTTGTCCGTGCTTGATGTGATCGGCACAGACTATAGACGATAAAAGAAATATAGTAAATGAAATCTTGGCTAACGGAAACTTACCTTGCGGAACAGCTTCAGGAATGCTGCAGGAGATTTAAACGAACATAAAAGAACAGGAAGGAAAAGAACAGCAGAGACCAGAAGAGAAGCAGTAATAACAATGATTGCAACAAGAAGTATAAAGCAGCTGACTGACAGCAGGGACTAAAAAAATCAGCAGTGAAAAATGAAAGCGCCCCGCAGGACAGAATGTGGGGAGAGAGAGGTGGCCCTGAGAAGAGCCACTGGGATCTTTGCAGTTTCTCAAGCATCGCTGTGTCATGCAAAAGGCAAATTAGTCATAGAACAGTTCTGCATAGGAGGTAGGGGATGACAACCATTATATTTCAGAAGACTATAAATGACTCACTGTCCCATGCTAAAAGCAAATCAAAAGTACACCAGCTTTTATTTTTATCTTTGTATTCCCAGTGCCTAAGCCAATAATAATAGGGATCCAATAAATGTTTGTTGAACTGAATTCTTAAAAATATATTTTTTACTGTGTTTTATTTTTATACCACCTGTCTGATTGAATTCTATTGGCATTTAATTGCACAGCTTACTTTTTGAGGTAGTATTTGGTAGTCTTGCTTGACAATATTTATACTGATTCAATCTATGGACCAAGTACTTCTTATGAAATATTACAGGAAAAAAATCCATAAAAAAATTGACTCATCATGCAGGTACTGTACAGGATTTTCAAACTCATCAAGGTTTCAAATTTGTATTATTTGTACTTGGAATTCTACTCAATCACAAACTCTTAAGAAGGGCTAAGAGAAAATTGTGGTCTGCTATCATATATGCAAAAGGTGTCACTTTCTGGTGAAGAAGAACTTGCATACATTGAAACATGTCTTCTCTAAAACTTATATAAATTCTTAAACTGGTGAAGGAGTTCCTCCTTCACATCTATCTTTTTTTAAAAAAAAGTTTTCCAGAAATGTATCCGTTTTCAATCACTACCTTGATAGGTAATCCTCTGTTTGGCCTGAATTCTGATAACATACCCAGGGCAGTTAGCCTCGTGGATTTGCTAAGCCCTTTTTTCCCTTTGTACCCAACTACAGCTGTGGCCCATCACAATAAAAAATGTTCATAATGATGACCCTGAGCCACTGTGAAAACATTATGTGCACTGTACATTCTGTTTAGGGAAGCAGGAAAGCATAAAATACAATAAGAAGATTTAAAATAATTTTTAAATGATAAAAAGCTAACATCTCAGAACTTACAAGGGTAACTATCATGTATCCAAAAAGTTATCCAGAAAGAATCATCCTGCAAAGTTATAGATATCCAAGAGAAAACAAGGCAAAGAATTTCTTAAATGACAATGTACTAACTTTGATTGTTTCTTCAGATACTTGGCTCTGTAACATTTTCAAAGACTCATCTTTCTGGGTATTCTGCTTCTCCATTTCCTATAAATGTAAAGATATAGCCAATAATATGTAAACATGCATATAAACATTCTATATCCTAGGAAAGCAATAATTGTTTGGCTAGGAATTATGGCCATATAACAGAAAATGATAATTGAAAAACTGTTTTGCTCTTAAATAATATCTTATAAACATGATTTTACCCCTCTTTTTTCCAGCAATAGTCTATCCAGTGATTCAAGATGATGTTGTTTATATACGATATCCTGTTGCAAAATGGACACAGTCTTCTCCTGTTCTTTAAATTGTTGATCTTTCTTTTCTAGCTGAATTTGAAACTGTACATGAAAACATGATTAATTGATTTACACATGATCTTTTTTTAGGACTTCAACATGTTTAATGTAGTTAAAAACCAAGGAGATATACCCTCCACTAGCACAGAATTTATCAGTAATAGAATTTAAGAGAAAATATATACTCAAGAAACAGGGAATATATCATCAACAAATGTATATTATATGATATATTTGATCATAAAATTTAGAGCTGGAAGGGGTATCAGAGATCATCAAGTTCAATCTCCTCATTTGACAGATGAGGAAACTAAGGCTAAGATTGGTTAAGTTATTTGGGCAGCTAGGTAGTACAGTGTGGATAAAACACTTGGCCTACAGTCAGGGAGATCTGAGTTCAAATCCAGCCTCAGATATTTACTTTCTGTGTGATTTGGGGCAAGTACTTTAACCACTGTTTGCCTCAGTTTCCTTAACTATAAAATGGGGATAATAATAGCACCCATCTCCCAGGGATGTTGTAAGGATCAAACGACATAATATTTGTAAAGTACTTATTAGCACAAGGTCTGGCACATAGTAGGGGTTTAAGAGATACTTTTTTCCTTCCTTCCACTTATACCATGTTACCACTATACGACAAGCATAACAAGTAATAAATTATATCAGAAATTTTAGAGGGCTTGGAACTAAAACAATCAAGAAAAAAAAACTTGAAAGAAAACTTTTTATAAGTAAGTAAATTCTATTTCTATTAGAAAGTTAGGAAATATTAACTACAGAAAACATAATTTATATAAAATGTTTGATGATTTGGAGAGCTTCCCTAAAATATATATCTATTCTATAATTCCCAGAAATATGTTTGTGGTGAATTGATATAAACACCAGAACACTAAAAACCTAGCTACGATTCCTTATGGGGATCAGCATAAATAGCCAATGACCAGATGGCTCCCAAAAGAAGCAAAGGATTCACCAGTTCTTTGCAACTAAGTTTTAGTGTTAATAATGATTGCCTCTACTCTTTCATTTACATTTACAAAATAATTGAAAAGGCCAATAAAATAACAAAAAATGCTATGTGATTATAATAAGAGCAAACTTGGCCCTGGAGAAGAGATAAGAAAATGTTCCTTCTATTTTCACTGAAGAGGTAGGGGACTATGAATATGGAATGTTATTTATGCAGTCAAACTTTCAATCCTGGTCAATGTAAGCTGGTTTTGGTTTTTTTTCTTTTTTTGGTTATGAGAAGGATCACTGAGATGGGGGAAGGACAAAAAGTTGTGATAGTGTGATACTCAGAATTGATAATGATAAAAGGTATCAAGAAAATATTATTAAAGAGTATTATTGGTTGTTTTCCTTTGTACTCAAAGAAGACCAAAATGACATTACTATACTGGGGCCAACGTACAGTGTATCCAACTGCGGCTGATCAAACCAATATAAGCTTGGAACACTATACTACAGGTTGGGCACAAATAGTCTGTATGATTTGTGCATCTCACATTTCTTTTGAGCTACTGCAATTCCACTTTGCCTACAGAGCACAGCGCCTTCTTTGATGCAGGCACACCACGCTGGGAGGTCCTGTGCCGGTGCCTCCCATGTTTCACAATAGATATCAAAGTTCTTCAGGACTTGAAAGTGTCCTTCTATCTTCTGATCTCTGTGTGAGCACTTGCCTTGTGTAAGTTCTCCATAAAATAGTCTTTTAGGCAAACATACGTTTAGCATTTAAACAACGTGGCCAGTCTACTAGACTTTTGCTCCCTGCAGTAGGGTCTGAATGTTTGGCAGTTCAACTTGAGAAAGGACCTCAGTATCCAGTACGTTATCCTAACAGGTGATCTTCAAAACCTTCCTAAGATAATCCAAATGGAAGTGATTCAGTTTCCTGGCATGGAGCTGGCATACTGTCCAAGTTTCAACAGGCATATGACAATGACGTCAGCACAATGGCTCCGTAGAATTTGTTTGGTAGGCAGCCTAACACCTCTTCTCTCCCACACTTTCCTTGAGTCTCCCAACACTGAGCTAGCTCTGGCAATGTGTGCATCAACTTCATCATCTATCTTTATAGTCCTGGAAAATATTCAAATTCTTCCATTTCCTATAACCAATGGTTCCACATACATGGAACTGATGTGGTGCTGGTTGGTGGAGAACCTCCCTTTTTTTGGTGTTAATTGTCAGGCCAAAATTAGCACAAGTAGTGGAGAATCCATCCATGCTCTGTTAAATCTCAGCCTCAGAGGCTGCATAGAGTACACAATCATCAGCAAACAAAAAGTTACACACCCACTCTCCCTCTCCCTTAGTCTTGGCTTACAGCTTTTTCAAGTTAAATATTTCACCATTGGTGTGAAAGCTGACCTTAATGCTGTTATGAATGAAAAATCCAAGAGGCAGTTTCTGGGTAATTAATAATCAATCTACTAATTAGGCTAGCTAGTAATAAATTGATGGTCAGTAGTTTCTCGTGGTAAACAAAGACCCCTAATGGAGACAATGAATGACTTAAATATCTTTGTAAAAGAGAACACCCCTTTCAAGTGAAAATCAACCCTGACTGATGGACATTTAATGAGAAGGTGGGCTAGAAGTCTTCATCTCTTCCTGCTGATAATGTGGCTTGATCATGAGACTCAGCCACCTCTAGCAATCTGGACAGGGGAATCCATCTTCCCTTTTTTACCTGAGTGAGTCACCCTAAATTCTAATGGAGAATTACAAGCACAGGGGCTCATTTCCTTGGGGCAAGAATTCACCTAGATTAGATTGTTTACACTCTAAAGAGAAATAAGGTCTCCTAGTTGAGTGGGGTCCAGCCCAAGATCGAGAAGCATGTTCTCAGAGTTAGGGACACTGTTCTCATCAATCAGTCACGTCTTCAGAGACTGATTGACTGATAGGGGCTGGGCCCCAACTGAGGAAAAAAAGGAGAAAAATCCTAGATCCTAGTTTAATAATTATTAACAGCAAAACGATAATTTCTCTCAATGCTGTTTTTGCCCTTGGTGAAGGTGTCCAACAACATTGTTGAAAACATCATGCTAAAAAGCATGGGAGCAAGCACACAGCCTTGCTTTACTCTATTGGTGACTGGGAAAGTATAAGAGCATCATCCATTATCCAAAACCTGTTGCAAGCATGCCTTTTTGAAAATGGCATACAATACTGATGAACTTTTCTGGGCAACCAAATGTTTCCATGATCTTCCACAAAACCTTATGACTAACAGCATCAAAGGTCTTGGTCAGATGGATGAACTTTGAGTATAGACCTCTGTTCTGCTCCTGGCACTTATCCTGGAATTATTAGGCAACAAACACTATATTGACCGTTCCTTGGCCCTTTTTGAAGGCTCTTGGATAGATGACCATCTTGCAGATGAAGGATCTGTCTATTAAGGAGGACTCTGACAAGAATCTTGCCAGCAGGGGCAGCTAGGTGGCGTAGTGGATAGAGCACCGGCCCTGAAGTCAGGAAGACCTGAGTTCAAATCCTGCCTCAGACCAAACACTTGCCACGTACTATCTGTGTGACCTTGGTTAAGTCACTTAACGCCGATTGCCTCACTATTAAAAAAAAAAGAAAAAGAATCTTGCCAACAATGAGTAAGAGAGAGACCCACCCCCCCCACCATAATTGTCATAGGACAACCTATTTTCCTTTATAGAGATCACAGGGTAGGATCCCTGCAAGCAGCCCAAGGTTAGGTGAAGCAGATAATTTTTAGGGCACCTTTTCTAGCTTCCTCATGCCAGGAGGTGAGCAGTGAGTACCTTAAAAAATGCAGACACCCAGGGAGCTGCCAAATCCCACTGCTGCTTCAATCCAGTGACAAGATAGCTTTATGTCCTGTGTGCAGGGTTGTGACTACAGATCCCAGTGTATTTGCACCCACTGCTTTGTCACTTGCCTGTTGCCACAGGATTTCCAGGTAGGTAAAAATGGCAAAACAGTATGGATGATGTCTTTTGACTTGTGCATAAATTGGGTTTAAGAGTGACAGAATTGTGTAGTCATCAGTCTCACTGTCTCTTCCAGAGTCATGAAGTGCAGTGGCAAAACAAAAGTCAAGACAACTGGTGATGGCTCAGGATAGAGTGGATGACCTCAGTGCCTTTGATGTCTAATCGAGCTCTAAGTGCTCCATAGCACCTACTTCCGCCACCTTCATGGCCTGTTGAACAAATTGATCCCATTTGCCTATTCCACCGGGGAGGTTTTCACATGGTTAGAGTAGACCCTCCCCTAAATCACAGACAGGTTTGAGGTCTCTTGGTTACCCTCAACCTGGTTTAGCCCTGGCTGCCAAAATGGTTTTACCAGGGTGTGGCGGCTGCACATGCTACAGCTTCTTGGAGCCACAGGTGAGAATCGGCAAGTGGACACCAAAGGTGGGAAAGGTGGAAAGCAGTCCTGAAACAGGGCTCAGCAGCCCTCACACCAGAGTACTAGTCTTCCCTTAACACTCCAGTCCAGGGTGACATGTCTCAGGGCGATGCATCTCAAGGTGATATATCTCTTTCATACAGCAGAATTCTATTAAAACAGTACAATCCTTTAAAACAGTACAATCTTACTACAGATTTATCTTCAGGAACAGAATTATGTTTCCCTCCAAGAACATACAATATTGCTAAGATGTTCTTCATACATAGTAAAAACGTAAACTTCTACAGAAATAAAGTCTCTTAAATGGAATGATCTATTATCTAGCTCAGAAGTTCCCAAACTTATTTGGCCTACTGCCCCTTTAAAAAAAAATTACTCAGTGCCCCCCTTGAAATTTACTTTCTTTAACCCTTCAACAGTTTTTTAAAAATTTGCATCATTTCCAGTAAAGCTCAATTACTATTACCAGGACATAACCCACACTTTCCTATATCAGAGCTTCGCATTGCACTTCCCCATCTCTGCCTGTCAAAAACCTCCAAATCCTTAAAGGCCAGCAACACTCTCCGGGGGTCCTGAACCAGATCAAAATGTTTATTTGGAAATATTTAACAAAAGAAATAAAAACACAATAAAACATAAATAATATCACATTTTAAAACTAAGTCAATATGAGGTCTGTAGGGATCCTTATGTACATATCAGTCACCTTCCATGCAGATCAAATGAGATAATAATTGTAAAGTGCTTAGCACAGTGCCTGGCACACAGTAAGCACTATATCAATGTTAGTGATGATGATGATGACGACATTTGACACTACTGTTCCAAATCAGTGAAATCACGAGTCTAGTTTCTATCCCCTATCTGTGGTCATAGAAAGATTTACTCCCCATGTAATTAAGTGGTATAATGTTCTTTACTGACTAAACTAATACACAATTTTCCCAATGGAGGGAGAGTCAAGAATCGTTTTAGGTAAGCCTCCATTATATCCTCCCTGAAGCCTAGCACCCAATACTGTTCATAGTTGCCCCCTTTACAAAAGTGTGCTCTCTACGCTAAGCAGTTCTTGAACACAAGTACCTTTTCACCTTCCCCCAAAACCATACACATGAAGTAGAATTTTCTACAAAACTATCTCCATATTCTGATAGTGTCTCCATTTCCAGAGAAAAACATAACTTTGGCATGTGCTGGGATAAAAGCCTAGGAATTTCATTCTCTAATCCCGGTCTCTTCTATGAACCAAACTGCTTAGAAAGTTCCTAAATTATTCCATATTGCCTAGATCAGGGCTCTACAAATTCTGGGTCATTGTGTTAGTTTTCCATCTTAATGTCTAGTATTTCTGTCACAATATTAGGCAGCATTGGTTGTCAAAACAGGTATACTTTAGTCTTCCTGCTCACGGAGGTTCATTCACATTTTATTATCATAATGACCTGAAACGGAGTCCACTGAACTAGACAGTGTTATTCAGTGCAGGAAACAATGAAGACTTTCACGTTGTATGCTGGAATTTCCTAGATATCAGTGAACCTTTTCCAGCTTCAACCAGGGCCCCGATCTCTGCATAATCAGATGTGAAGGCAAGGAGGCATAGGACTTGTGGGACTGGGGGAAAGGGGTTAGACACTAGGGCTTCTTCCAACCATGTATATAGACTAGGAAATACCTAGACTAGAAGTGAATAGCTCTTTGAGTTTTTGCAGTGAGTCCTCTGAGATTATTCTGTAGCTTCTTGGTGACTCTGATTTAACAATGCTGAGAACCAATATCCTGTGGCAACACATTGTGGAACCAATATCCTATGTTGTCTTTTTTTTTTTCCTCCCTGGAAAGCTAAATTTGGAGAACAGCATGTAAAGAAAATTGGTCTAGCTTTGCCCTACATCCTCAATATGAAGGCCATTCCAAGACAACATCAAACCCTTTGGAATAGCTTTGAGTCAGACCGAAAAATAATAGGTCCTGATCCAAGCCTCACTTTCTGGACAAATGTATCCAAAACTCATATTTTCCAAGACTGCATACAGGAAGGGCACCTGGCAATTTTAATTCCAACATTTATCATAAAAATTTTCTAGGCTATTTTTTATCCTTTTGGCAATAATGACAAGTATTTTCTAAAATTATAATGATATCCCTCTTAAGTTTCTCTTCTAGCCATACTGGTTAGTCTAATCTGAAACAGCTCTGAACTATTCTATTCTCTAGAGCTCTTCATCTGAACCAGCAGTCTATCCCACTTTTCTCCTCCCCTTTAATCAAAGGTTGTTAAGTATGCTGCTGCCCTCTCATTTCTTTCACTTGATTTTCATCCAAATGATGTTACCTAATAAAGAGTATGGAGAGTCTGCTGAATAGCTTTAATTTGAAATTATTAAAATTATTTTAAAAGATTAAAGGTAAAATAGAAATTTTATTTTAATGCAATAAGTTCTTACTAGTTCAATCTGATGTTCCATTTCTTTGTGTTGTTCATAATGAATCTTCTTTGCCTTTTCAAAGGCTAAACACATTTTTTCATGTTCCGAATTTATATTTGATTCCAAACTGTGTATCTTTTCATTTTTTTCCTAGAAAATACAATAATGCTTTTAAGGAAATATGACTATTTTTATTTATATATTATATATTATATAATTATACATATAATTATATATAATTATATGATATATATATTATTTAAGGAAATATGATTAATTTTTTTTATCTAAAGCATATTAATTATGTAATCAATGTGAAAATATAAAATTTCTTAAAATTTGCAGAATAAGGACCAAGGGGTTTTTGTTACTGTTTTTACATAAAGAATAATATTTAATGCCTTTGAAACTGACATAATAAATTATTTACTTTAAATGGATATGAATCTTTTAAGATGAGATATAAGTTGTAAAAATGAAAAAAAAATCCAAAGCTCTGAGTTGAACATAGTACAAAGCTGCTACAACAACTACAATGGAATGAAACATGAAAATATGGGGATAATAGAATGCCCAAGTATTTCGTTAAGGCTCAAAAAGTGAGTAAAATAGAAATAAGTGCAAGATGATCTAAACCATACAATAGAATTTGTGATGATCCTAACTTTAATAATGGTGCTAACGCTTAAAACATGCCGTTACAAAGTACAAGAACAAAAAGAAGTATTCTCAGTTAAAAGCTATTTTTACCATAAGTTCCTGTTCCAGTTCAGAATTTTTTGCAGCAGCAGAAGAATAAGCAATTGTCTTTTCTTCCAGCTGTTTCTCTAACGTGAGAATCTGGGAACATTTCTTTGTCATCTGAAAAAAATTAATATACACTTTGAGATGAGTGTATTTGACAAGCAGAAAATAAATTTTATTAGAAAATGATAGTTAATTTTCTTATTCTAAAGTTTAAAAGCCTTTTCCCTCATATCAGCATTGTCACACAAACTGCTAAATGTAATATCTGAATGTTGTATAATAGAAAAACCCTGGAGATGAAGTCAAAAGACCTAGATTTCAGAAATCTGTAGTATTCCTACTTCCTAGCTATGTAACTTTGAGAAAGTCATCTCATATCTCTGGGTTACAATTTTTCTCTCTGATGAAAACAAAGGGATTGTACTTCATCATCTCTAAAGTTCTTTTTAGCTTAAAGGTTCTATGACTGTGAATAAGCTAAGCAAATGTACAGTGATAAATATTTATGGTGAATATCTAGGTTCCTTTTGTAAATAGCTTTGGATTCCATATAATCATGAGTTATTTTTAAAATTAGTAATCACTAAACAATAGCAGGGGTGGAATCAGAAACAATCACAGACTAAGAAAATGGAAGTAATCTAACCCATATCCCTGTGTCCAGGTAGAACTTTAAATCAACTCAAAAAGTTTTCTATTTCAATGCTTGAAATTTTCTGGGGAGATATGATTGCTTAAGTTGAATGTAAGTCACCCTTATCACTACTCACATTCATTCCCCACAGGCCTTTCCCTCTGTCCTAGTAAGGGAGCTGAAGGGAAAAAACAACAAAAAAACCAGCCACTCTAACCCAGGCATGTCTCCCATATGCAGTCTCTAGTTTAGAGGAAGCAAGGAAAGAAACAAGCATTTATTAAACACCTATTATGATAAGCACTTTACAAATACTATTACATCACAATAATCTTGGGAGGTAGGAGCTATAATCCCCATTTTACAGATGAGGAAACTGAAGCAGAGGTTAAGTTACCTGTACAGGGTCATACACCTAATAAATGTCTGAGAATGTATTTGAAATCAGGTCTTCCTGACTCCAAGCCTAGGACTCTATTTACTGCACCAACCAGCTGCTAAGCACAACATAGAAAAAAGAAAAGCTGCAGGTTCCTGCCTCAGTGGAAACAAGCAACTGCTTCTAGTGGCTTATACTTTCCCTTTATATAGCTGAAGAATGTTAAAGATTCAATCTCTACCACACACTTCTCTCTTTCCAAGTAGGTAATATCAGTTCTTTATTCTCTCCTTTGCTCTTACTGGGAAATGCATTATTTAAATATTTATAATAAATTAATCATATTAAAAACACTTAAGAGTATGGACTTATCTATAAGTTACTGCTTCTATTGTTTCAAATAAAATTGAGAGGAAGTCATAACATATATAACATAAAATTCTGTTTTAAATATAACATAAGATTAGTATTATTTCCATCATGATTATAACATCTTTCAACCACTATAAAGTATAAAATATCAAAGCCAAATTTAACCCAAAGGTTAAAACCCAAAGACACCTCTCCCATATTTCTTCTGCATTAGAGTTAAGTTTACTGATGAAATCCACTTACTTCGGATTCCATTTTACTAGAGTTGGTAACTTTCTCTAATAATTCTTCTTGTATCACTTGAAATTGACTGGTCCTGTGAGCCATGTTAGCCTTTAATTCAGAATTCTCAGCTTCTGTTTTTGCCAACTTAGCACGTAACTCTTCTATGCCAGCAGCAAGTCTTTCCTTTTCTCTCTCAAAATGTTTGCCTACAGTATGTAGCTTTTGGCATTGGAGATGATCTGCTACAACACCAAAAATATAATTTACAATTACAGTCTAATATTAAAATTGTCATGCACAAAACATAAACAGACTTAGTCAAATAGTTCAGACAAATGTTACAAAACAATTTTTACACTCAAGCATAAGAACTGGAAAAAAGGTAGAATCCATTACCAAAGTGATGCCCATCCCACATGAAGTAAAATCCCAGGAATGAGTTGTTCCAGATAGTCATTTTATCCAAGTATTAAAGGACTGAACCTTTAATGCAGGCCTGCATAACCTGTGGCCTGTGGGCCGCTTGCGGTATGCCAGAGGATTTCAAGTGGCAGCAAAAAACATAGAGGAAAACATCCTTTGTATGTAAAGGAAATCCTTTGGTGTGCTGCAGATGGCCTGCGGGGCTGCAGTTTGTGCAAGCCTGTTTTTATGAGACTTAAAAATGTAAACATTTCAAATGGTACCTATACACATCTTCTTAGTAAGGATATACTAAATAAAATGCAACTTCTTTGGCTTTCTCAGGATCATCATAATGAATAGCAAATTTCACTTAGTTACATTGATAACACAGATTCTGTTCTACGTGCAATGCTCTGTTGTTTGTCTTTCGTTTTTGAAGAGGACCAATGATATCAAGGAGTGATGTCTTGACTTGGGCATGAACTAGATTTAAGTGAAGCAGAGTTGCACAAATTCATCAGCCTCACTCTCTCTTCCAGAATCATCGAAGTCCAGTGGCAAGTCAAAAGTCGGAACTGGTGATAGCCCAGCATGCAGTAGATGACCCTGGCGTCTTCAATGTCTGAGCAACCTCTAAGCAAGCGCTCCATAGTGCCTGCTTCAGCCACCTTCACGACCACTAGAACAAACTGTTCTTCTCGGCCCATTCTGCTGGGAAAAGTCTTCACATGCTTGGGGTAGACATCCCCCTAACTCACAGACAGGGTCGAGGCCTGTCAGTTACCCTGAACCTGGTTTAGCCTATCTGCTAAGACTGTTTTACTGAGGTATGGTTGTAATGCATGCTACAGCTTCTTGGAGCCAAAAGTGAGAGTTGGGTGACCAGTTAGCCACCAAAGGTGGATGAGCAGCCCTGAAAAGGGGTTGGCAAGCCCTCACACCAAAGGTCCTAGTACTTTCTGAACACCCCATACATCCAAAGACTGTAAAACTATGCCATTGGTATGCCTTCTGAGGGTTTTGGAGGGGTGCCACATAGGACTGTTGGCTACACTTTCATATACCTTTCCCTCCCCACTCTTAAGATCTCCTCTACCATCAAGAACTATAATACTGATGTTCAGATGTCTATGTATACCACCTCTCAAGATGCAAAACTGTTCTGCTGTCCCTTCATCACTGGTTCTCTTCTGTGTAGTCAGAGTACCTGTTATATTTTTCCCCCTATCAGTGATTTTATCAGTGTGGTGAGCTCTCTTGAAGGGGCCTTCCCCTACCAAAATACCTTCTTTCCAACTTACAGTTTTAGAGAATTCCTTGGGGAACTAAGAGATTAAGTGAACATTAAGTGACTTGCTCAAGATTCACAATCAGATTTTATCAGTGTGAGGTTTGAACCCAGTAGCTCTGAATTCTGAGGCCAGCTTTCTAGCCGCATCTCCTGATGCACATCACCTACCTTCTGCTACAAACACGTCCACATCTACCTCATCCTCCAAAATTTATCACTTGATCCACCCATCCCCACTAGTTATTTATTGTTCTATATCTCTTCTCCCTTTGTGGCTAAACTCCTTGAGCAGGTCATGGATAACTGATATCTCTACTTCCTTTCTTCTCACTGTCTTTTTAACTCTCAAAATCTAGTTTTCAACCTCATCATTGAACTGAAATTATTCTTTCCAAAGTTACAATGACCTCTTAATTGCCAAATCTAATGGCCTTTTAAAAAAATCTTCATCTGGTACCACATCACACCTATCAGACTGGCTAACATGACAAAACAGGAAAATGATAAATGTTGGAGATGTGGGAAAATTGGAACACTAATGCATTGTTGCTAGAGTTGTGAACTGATCCAATCATTCTGGACAGCAATTTGGAACTATGCCCAGAGGGTCATAAAATTGTGCATACCCTTTGACCCAGCAATAGCACTTTTTGGTCTATATCCCAAAGAGATCATAAAAATGGGAAAAGGACCCACATGTACAAAAATATTTATAATAGCTCTTTCTGTGGTGGCAAAGAATTTGAAATTGAGGGGATGCCTATCAATTGGAGAATGATTGAACAAGTTGTGGTACATGAATGTAATGGAATACTATTGTGCGATAAGAAATGATGGGGGGGGAGGGCCAGCTAGGTGGCACAGTGGATAGAGCAACGGCCCTGGAGTCAGGAGGACCTGAGTTCAAATCCAGCCTCAGATACATAACACTCACTAGCTGTGTGACCCTGGGCAAGTCACTTAACCCCACTGCCTAGCCAAAAAAAAAAAAAGAAAGAAAGAAATGATGAGCAGGCAGACTTCAGAAAAACCTGGGAAGACTTGTATGGACTAATGTTGAGTGAAGTGAGCGGAACCAAGAGAACATTGTACACAGTAACAGTCACATTATGCAATGACTAACTTTGATAAGACTTAGATCTTCTCAGCAATGCAAGGATCTAAGACATCTCCAAAAGTCATATGAAGGGAAATGCTATTCACATCCAGAGAAAGAACTATGGAGTCTGAATGCAGATTGAAGCATACTATTTGCTCTTTTTTTTTCTTGTTTTGTTTTGTTTCTTCTTTCTTGTGGCTCCTCCTATTGGTTCTAATTCTTCTTTACAATGTGACTAATGTGAAAATATGTTTAATAGGAATGTATATGTAAAGTCTATATCAGATTGCATGCTGTCTTGGGGAGGAAGGAGGAGAGGGAGGGGGAGGAAATTTAAAACTCAAAAGCTTATGGAAGTGAGAATATTGAAAACTAAAAATAATTAATTTTAAAATAAAAGAAATGATGAGCAGGCAGACTACAGAAAAACCAGGAGACTTGCATGAACTGATGCTGAGTGAAGCAAGCACTGTACACAGAACGGTAACATTGTGTGATGACCAGTTTTGATAGACTTAGTTCTTCTCAGCAATGCAAGGACCTAAGACAGTTCCAAGACTCACGATGGAAAATGCTGTCCACATCCAGAGAAAGAACTATGGAGTCTGAATGCAGATCGAGGCACACTATTTTCTTTTTTGTTTCTTCTTTCTTGTGGTTTTTCCATTTGGTTCTAATTCTTCTATACAACATGATTAATGTGGAAATATGTTTAATATGATTGTACATGTATAGCCTATATCAGATTGCATGCTCTCTTGAGGAGGGGGGAGGGAAAAGGGGAGAAAATTTAAAACCCAAAATCTTGTAAAAGTGAATGTTGAAAATTAAAAATAACTAAACAAATAAATATTTAAAAATATTTTAGAAATCCTCATCCTTCTTGACCTTTGCAGATTGACATTGTCAATCACCCTCTTTGCTTTGATATTCTCTTCTCTAAGTTATGATGATGCCACCTTTCGTGGTTCTCCTCTTACCTGTCTGACCCCTCCTCAGTCTTCTTTCCTGCATCTTCATCTAGGTCATGCCCACTAACTATGGATGTCCCACAAGGCTCTGTCCTAGGCTCTCTTCTCTCTTCGCTCTATACCATTTCATTTGGTGATCTAATCAGCTCCCCTGGTTTCAATTATCATCTCTTTGCTGATGATTCTTAGATCTACTTCAGATCTCACAAGTTAGTCTAGCTCTAACCTCTTAACCTCTAGATCTGTATCTCAAACTGCCTATTAGACATCTCAAACTGGATGTCCTATAGACATCTTAAACTCCACTGTCCAAAAGTGAACTCTCTTCCCAATCCCTCCCCCATTACAAACTTCCCTGTTACTGTCAAGGGTATCACCATCCTTCTAGTCCACCCACTCACAATGTAGGTGTAATCCTTGACTCCTTACTTTCTCTCACCTCCCCATATTCAATTTGTGGCCAAGCCCTGTCAGTTTTACCTTCCTCTATTCCCCCTCTTCTCTCCTCTGATACTGCTACCACCTGGTGAAGTGATGGAGTAACTCATCACCTGACACCTGGACTATTGTACGAGCCTGCTGGCGGGTCTGCCTGCCTCGTCTCTCTCCATTCCAGTTCATCCTCCCTTTAATTGCCAAAGTGGTTTCCATAAAGCACAGCTCTGACCATATCATCTCACTCCTACTCAATAAGTTTTGGTGGTTGTCTGTCATCTCCAGGGTCAAACAGAAAATCCTCTGACATTCAAAGCTCTTTACAATGTGGACCCTCCCTACCTTTACAGTCTTCTTACACCTTACTTACCCTTCCCCTCATACTCTGTGACACTGGCCTCTTTGCTGCCCCTGGCACAAAACCCTATCCTTAGATTTTCAGGCATTTTCACTGTTCTCCAAGCCTGAACTCTCTCTCTTCATCTCTGCCTCCTGGCTTCCCTTGCTTTCTTTAAGTCTGAGTAAAAATCCTATCTTCTACAGGAAGCTTTTCCTGATCACCCTTAATGTTAGTGCCTTCTCTCGGAGATTATCTCCAATTTATCCTGTATATAACATGTTTGTATACAGTAGTTCACATGTGGTTTCCCCATCAGACTGGGAGCTTTTTGAAAGCAGGGATGGTCTTTTGCCTTTCTTTGTATTTTTAGTGCTTAGTACAGTGTCTAACACATAGTAGTCACTTAATAAATGGCTGACTACAGATTCTAATTGCCACCAACAATGCTCCATTTGTGCTGCCAATAATGACTGCTGCACTCTTTCTTCTCTTTGCATTTCCAAGAGTGTCATGGCTTCTAGACTCCTCAGCTTTCTAGTGAAAAGGCTGGTATTTACACAAATACAGTCATCCATTCTGGGTACCATGTCCAGGTAGGGAGCAGGCCCATTCTAGTGTGTTAGGCCTTTCCTTCTTCATAACTCGATTGTTTGTTGGTGAATGGTCAAGGTCTGTTTCTTCACAGCAAAAAAGGGTTTGCTCTTTTTAAGCTGTTTTTAGTGACTGTTTCTGGCTCCAGATGCATTCCAGAAAATTAAAGATTTCCCTTCTGCAAGGCTGTATTCAGAATAACCAAGATTTTACCATAGGTAAACAGGTACCTAACAGTGACTAAGAGAGGCCTAACTTGTGGAGAGAACCAAATCATAAGACAATTGATGTGGGGTTACAATGTACAAAAAATATCTTTGGATAATAGTAAAAGAAAGCAATGAAATCATGCCTTATATTATCTAATTAAAGAAAATGAAGAATAAAAATAATTTTGTTACTCCATTGGACATTAATAATTTTATAAAACATAAGCTAGAATTGCTTCCCAAAAAAACCATCACAAAAATTATAGTTCTTATTAGAGATAAATTATAATTTTGCATACTTGCTTGACTTCCACTTAATTTTACAGGTTCTGTTTCTAAGCCACTTAATCGGCCACCTTCCTGCATCTCACCATCACCCAAAAAATGACCAGAAAACTGACTGGCAGTTAGGTTTGTTTGAAGTGTATTAATTTTTGCCTCTTTCAATGCAAGCTTAATCCTGGCAACAAAAGAAAGAATATCAAAGGTTTGAGAAAAAGTACATTTATAGAAAATATTATTTATCACTACCAATAATAAAAGGCATTTTAATGCTTGCCATCATTCCAGGATCTTAAACACTATACCTGAGGTTTGTGATCACTGATTTATTTAGCTCACAGCAAGAAACACAGAGATCTTCCTTGGTTGAGAAGTTTTCCACTTGATGCTTACAGAAACACGTTTTAGAATTAAACATTTCTTTGTTAAACTGCAAGTTTAAAAACAAACATGATTAAGCTTACATGTATATATGTGTGTGTATGTATGTATATGTGTGGGTATACCTCAAAAAAGAACACCCTGGAAGTTCAGAATGAGAGTTGTAGCTACACAACAATTCATTTGAAAAAGGATTTGTGGGTGGGGGATAAGAAGTTCAATATGAGTTAACAGCATAATATGGCAGCCAAAAATTTTATTATGATGGTAGGCTCCATGAATAAAACTATTAGTCCAGAATGTGGGAGCTGATAGTCTCTTGTATTCTGCCCTGGTCAGATCACTTTTGGAGTACTATGTTGAGTGCTGGGTACCACACTTTAGGGCAGAAAGTGACCAGCCCAAAGAAGGCTCACCAGGCTAGTGAAATAATTTAAAATTATTGGGCATGGAAATCTATCTTACCCTACAGGACAGTAGAGGAAGGGGATGGGGGGGAGGTAGAGCAGGGAGGGCAGATGGGGGGGGTAATCAGAAACAAACACTTTTGAGGAGGGACAGAGTTAAAGGAGAGAATAGAATAAAAGAGGAGAGATAGGATGGAAGGAAATTTAGTTAGTCTTTCACAATATGACTATTATGAAAGTGTTTTGCATGACTACACATGACTACACGTCTATATTGAATTGCTTGCCTTCTCAATGAGGGTGGGTGGGGAGAGAGGAAGGGAGAATATTTGTAACTCAAAGTTTTACAAACAAAGGTTAAAAATTGTTTTTACGTGAAACTGGGAAATAAGGTACACAAGCAATGAGGTAAAGAAATCTATCTTACCCTACAGGAAAATTGAAGGGGAAGGGGATAAGAGAAGGGGGTTGGGTGATAGAAGGAAGGGCAGACTGAGGGAAAGGGTAATCAGCATGCACACTGTTACAGGGTGAGGGTAGGGGAGAGATGAGGAGAAAACTTGGAACTCAAAATCTTGTGGAAGTGAATGTAGAAAACTAAAAATAAATAGATAAATTGAAAAAAAATTCAGAAATTAAAAGAAAAGAATTTAAAATTATATGATATAACCTAAAGGAGCTAAAACCTAAAGAAAAGAAGGCCTAAAACTTCTTGAAGATCAGAGTCTTCAAATAAAGGATTGTGATGTAGAAAAAGGATTAAATTTACTTTGATACCAAAGGACAGAATTTAGAACAATGGGTAGAAATTAAAGGGAGACAGATTCTGGTTCAACACAAGGAAGAGCTGCTTAACAGGATGCCTCAGGAGATTATGCGTTCCCTGCTGCCGCAGTTGTCCCAGGGAGGTGGCTGATCACTTGCAGGAGGGCATGTGTGCTTTAAGTAGGGGCTGGACTTCAAGAGCTCCTTCAGACTTAGAGAATCTGTGATAGGGATCTCACAGAATGTTAAGATTCAGAATTTCAGGTTTAAAAATATATATTATTTAGCTTACTTTGTACTTTTAATAATAATGCTATATAGTCATATATAGTGCTTTCATGTATAATAATTTCAGGAATTTAACTTCATTTTACAAATAAGGAAACAGTTAACTAGTCAGTCAACCAGCATTTACTATTGCTAAGCATCGTGCTAGGATACATGAAAGGCCAACACAGGGACAAAGAGGTCAAGTGACTTATCCAAGGTGACAAAGTTAATAGGTGGCAGAGCCAGGACCCTTGTCTTCTGACTCTTAAATTTAGGCTTCTTTCTACTATACCTTTCTTTTCTTTTTCAAGACTGGATCTCTCTATCCCTCCAAAGTGAGAAGCGCCAGGGCTGCTAATTGGCAATCCCATGCTGATGGGCATGGAAGCCCTGAACTACTCCATGTCCTGCCTGGGGCCACACCATATTCATAATGGACTTAGTGCTGACTCATAATTGGCCTCACCCACTGCAGCTCAGACTGCCCTGGTTCCAGAGGTCCATCAACCTCAAACTCCAAGGTAGTTGGGATGACAAATACAGGCCAGCAGGCCCAGTTCTGCCACCAATTATCTGTGTAACTTTACCTCCCTGAGCCTTTATTATAATAATAAAATCATCATCTCTAGGATCCTTTCCTGCTCTAAAATTCTGTGACTCTTTATCTGGTGGTTCTTCTTCACCTTTTCTTGGTCATGAGCTTTGGCAGTCGGGTGGCTCAGAGTAATGCTTTAAAATGCATGCAATATGTAGGATTATAAGAGAAACCAATTACATTTAAATTCAGTTATCAAACACTTAAAAAACAAGTTCTTGGACCTCTGTACTTTATAGAGCATGTAATAAGGTAAATGATTTTGCTGATATCATCAAGGAGTAGAAGAAATAATCACAAACCACTATTCCCTGGTAGCCTCCTGACTCCACATCTGTTCTTACCTCTCACCAGTCAATAGTCCCTTCACACACAAACTACCTAAACAACCTCGAAGTGAGAAGATGGGTACAGAGGTGTGATAAAACCAACTGAAATGTGTTAACATGAAAAAGATATGATATAACACTTGCTTCATGATGGAAAGAAGGGTGAGTAGATAGTTAAGGGACAGAAAGCAGGCACTTGGTTCAAGAGAAGGTGTAAGGGGGAAATAAGATATACAGGAAATGAGGGATAGAAATCTATCTTGCCCTACAGGAAAACTGAAGGGGAAGAGGATAAGAGAAAGGCGGGGGGGGGGGAGATAGAAGGGAAGGCAGATTAGGGGAAAGGGTATTCAGAATGCACATCATCTTGGGGTGGAGGAAGGGACGAGATGGGGAGAAAATTTGGAACTCAAAATTTTGTAGAAGTGAATGTTGAAAACTAAAAATAAATTAATTTAAAAAATTTATAAATTAAAGAATAGAAAAAAAGAGAAAGTGTAAAGGAGAGTACTGGATGGGGACAGGAAAGAAAAAGAATCAGCAGAATGAGATCAACCAAGTAAAATAATCACAATACAAGAGTTTCTGGCAAAGCATTTAAGGAGAATTTTCTTTTTCTATTACACAAAGAACTAGATGGGGATATGTTATATTTTTAAGCACACTTACTGGCAACTGGGAAATAATCGTTTCCAAACTGTTTAGTTCTTGCCTTGAATCTTCAATTTCTCTCTGACACAAACTCAATCGTTCATTCTGCTTTGTAATAAGAACTTTTAATTCTCTGTTTTCATTCACTAGAGCAAGTTTTTCTCTAAGAATTTCTTCTTTGTCCTCTAATTCACTCTCTAGCTTTAGGATGTTTTGTTTAGACTCAGTTAGTTGTGACATGATCTCAGAGTTTTTCAAAACCATATTCCTTATTCTTTCTTTTCCATCATTATTTTCATCCTTTAATTGCCTATGAAGAATAAAACAAGAAAAAAGAACTGAAGATAAGGATATTCTCTTTTTCAATAGTCATTCTTAATACCATCTTTAACTTATTAAAATAATAAAAACACTTTCAAATAAAATAATATAATTAATTGGAATAATTTAACATCTTACTATTTTAATGATCTTTTTGTTCTTATTTTAAAGTGCAGGCCAAGAAAGGTGATTGTAACACATTTCTCACAGTACAAGGGATACTTTACTTTCCCAGGCTAAGAATTAAAGAACACAAGACAGAACTACAGATCACTGTTTCTCAACTATATAAAATACTTTCTAAAGCAGATAATGTTCAATTGATCATTACAGAATTTAATTCAATGAGGGGGTGAGAGTTTAAACTCTCTATAATTTATAAGGAATAGCAAACAGAGAAATCTGATTCTTGGATTAACATTAGCATTAGCTGCTAAAACAGAAAGCTACATAATGAACTATTTTTCCCTTGTCTTCTTATAAAAGTACAAAATGTATTTTTTAAAGAAAGTATCTTTTGTGTGTTTCTTGATCCATTCCTTGAATTGGGTTAAATGTGATTTTTTTCTTTTTTTGTTTACTTTGTTTTTCGGTAAGGCAGTTGGGGTTAAGTGACTTGCCCAGGGTCACATAGCTAGCTATTAAGTGTCAAGTGTCAGCTCTGAGGCCGCATTTGAACTCAGGTCCTCCTGACTCCAGGCCCAGTGCTCTATCCACTGCGACATCTAGCTGCCTAAAAAAGATTTCTTTTTAATGTACACGTTAACAGTTTATTAAGCAACACAAATCTTCAAATGATTATACAAATCCTGTAAGTAAAAAATAGATACAGAGATATGCAAAGAAAGTGTGAAACAACACATCAAATTAGCATCTGAAATTAAATAAAACAAGATTATAGCATACAGGTATTTGTAACAAAGAAAAATGTAGACATTGTGTGTAAAGCATGCTAACTACATGAAATAAACTACAAACTTTCTTTCACTAGCTAATCTATATGAATGTCCCATTTTTCACAAGCTTTTGGTAAGGAGGGGTAGAGGGGAAAAACTGTTATAGGGACCAAATTCTTTAGTGGTATTATTTGGATGTTCTGGGGGGTTTTGTTTTTAAGTAAGAAATAAATACAAAATACAATTTAGACAATTAGTCAATTGACACAACTTCAACAAAAATGTTCATCTCTATACTGAAACAGTTAAACTCTAAGTCCAAAAATACTTCTGCTAGTTTTTTTCTGAATATATATAATAAAAACTCTAAATTCTTATCAATATATATTAATCTGTGCTAACAAATTACATCATTTTTATTTCATCTATCTTTATTCCTGGACATTTTTAATTTAAGCTTACAAAGGTGTTGGGAAATTGCCATTTTCAATGAATTAAGGCCACCCTTAGTCCCTGCAGAGGGCTGTGGTTTTCTTCTATTTTCTTCTATTTCAGCAGAACCCCCTTGCCCATAGCAGGCACACAGCATACCTTAGCTTGTCTTTCGTGGATTCCAGGTCCTCTCTGTATACAGCACATTTTTCCTGTAGTTTTTTATTTTCCTTTTCACAGTTTACTAGATTTTTCTCTAGTAGCTCTTCTTCAGCTTGAACCTGAAAGGGTAAGTGAAATGAAAACACTAACATTACAATGGTGGCACTCTTTAAAGATCTGTCACAACTTGGGTTCCAAAATGTTTCAAGAGGCCTGGAGTGTTCTAAGCATCCACTAAAACAAGAGTCCCTAGCATTTCTGAACAGGGAGATACTCTTTCATTTCCCTAAAACCCTTGAGTTGATGGGGAGAAAAGATAGTTTACTAAAGTTTGAAATGCAGTGCAGAGATGGAAGGCAGAAGGACCCTTTGCCAGCCCTCATTCCTTCAAAGTAAACCTCAGAGACAAAGCACTTTCATTCAGGGCCCTACCTGAGGACAACAGTTCTTTGCTTTTAAAGGACCCCAATGGGCAAACCACCTAAGAAAGCATTCAGTGAAGTTAATACCATAATTGGTAACTAATGGTATAAAGTTAGGCCACAATGCAGGCAAATGCAAATCCTAGATTAAAAATGAACTTGTTTGTCTTCTAGCTTTTCCCCATCTCCCCTTTCCTGATTCTTCGCCTTTTATGGTAACTCTGCTTCTACAACTAGGGACTCTATTTCTAACTTTTCCCCGTTTTTCCCGGCTGTTGCTGAAGGTTCACCACTGAAGCCCTGACCCTTTGCAGTAGGCCTCCTCTTTAGCAGCAAAAGCCTACATTCTGTAAATCTCTTCTCAAACTGCCTGAAAACTCCCCTATCCAGACCTATTCCCCTAGGAGATGATTCTCCAGCTTCTATGAAAGCAGACGTGATTACCGTTAAGATGTAAGGCTTACTGTGTTACCTTCTTTCCCTATCTCTAAGAGATAGGAAGCAGGAAACAACCCTATCCTACTCAAAAAGAACATCTCTTTATTGTCAAATCCTGACTTTTTTTTTACTTCTCTGCACCTGACATTGTTAACCCTTCCCCCTCCTTGAAATGCTTTCCTTCCTTAGTATGTCCTGAGCACTGCATCATCCTGGTTGGGCTCCTTTCTAACTTTTTAATGGCTCTTCATCCTCTTCTTAGCCCTTAATACAGGCATTCCCTGCTAGACTTTGGTTTGGACTCCTCTTAAAAGGTTCTTTCCTTCCTCAAAATCTTCCTAGAACAGCCTCTGCTTCTTTGACTTGCCCTCATCATAGCCCTACCTTTGAACTACACTTATCTATGTACCTGTCGTATCTCCCAAGTAGAATGTGAGCTCCTTGAGGGGAGAAAAATATTTTTTTTATCTTTATATCTTCTGTGCTTAGCACAGTGCTTTGCACTTGAGCCCTTAAACATTTGCTGAATTGAATTGCAGAGCTCATTAATAAATACACTTCAAATCTCACCACTGGGTTTTTTTTGTGTGTGATTTTTAAATTTTTTGTAATTTTAAAAATTCATTTTAAACTTAAATAACCACTGTTTGATAATTCCCAAAGCTGTATCTCTTCCAAATTTATATTTTCATCTGAGTTCCAATTAATATCATCAACAGCTCCACTACCTCTTCAAATTCAACGTGTCCAAAATCAACTTCATCTTCTTGCTCCTCAAACTGATACCCCTGCTAACTCCCATCTGTGTCAAAGAGATCATCAGTTTCCCATTTATTCATGCTGAAAAAAAAAAAACTCACCTTTGAGTCACCTTTGACTCATTCCTCTCAATTCTCCTCTATATCAATTCATTATCAAGTTCTAGTGAGTCAATAAACATTTAAGTGTCTACTATGTGCCAGGCACTGTGCTAAGCATTGGGGATACAAAAAAAAAAATTATAAAACACAGTCCCTGCTCTCAGGGTTCACAGTCTAACAGGGAGAGACAACATTCAAACAACTATGTACAAATAAGCTATATACAGGATACATTTGAAATAATCAACAAAGGAAAGGCACAACCTATATAGCCTTCCTTCAAATTATCTCCTGCACCCATTGCTTCCTCTTTGTCCCTATCAAACAGGCCTTTGTTACTTCATGTCTGGATTACATTATCCGACCCCCAAGTCTTTGACCAAATTCCTTAACTCCAAACTCTCCCTACATATTTCTAGCCAGATGACTTTTTCCTTAAACATACCATGTCCCTCATGTCATTCTTCTACTCAAAACCCTTCCACAGATCTCCACTGCCTATTGCATAAAGTCTAAATCGCCCTGTCTGGTTTCCAGTTCCCTCCATAATTTGTCACTCTCGTTTCTGATTACCACCCAACACATACCTTCCTCTGTGCACCATTTAGGTCAGTTTGCTCACCTTCCTAGGAGTAAATCACACTTATTCTCCCATCTCCTTGGGATAAGTTCATATTTATACTTTCTGATCTAACCAAATCCTAGCTCACTTGTAGCTTACAGAATCCCTCCTTTCATAAAACAGCTTAAGCATTCTCTCCTACAAGAAGTTTCTCCTGATCCTCCCAACTTCTAGTGCCATCCCTCTCTAAACTAGTTTGTATTTTTATTCAGTATATCCTTATACGTGCACATTTTGTTTCAGCCAATAGTTCTTTGAAAGTAGGAACTGTCCCATTTTTATCTTTACATCCCCAGCACCTAGCAGAGCCTGGCATATGGGCAGCATTTAATAAATATTGATTTACTGATTGAAAGTCTTCAAAGGCCTGATCAAGTCTCAGCTCCTCCTTGAAACCCTCCCTGATGACTCTAGCCCTCAAAAATCTTTCCCCTCTGAACTGATATAGCCTGCAAAGACTATACCACATCATCAGGTATTGTATAGTCTATTATTTACTCATTTTTTCCCTCTGTATTGAGGGGAGAAGGCCAATTAGCCTATAAACTCCTTACAAACAGGTATCATGTCTTATACTTCTGTTTTTTCCACAGTACCAGAATAGTAAAAGTGAGGCTTCATTGAGGGAACCAGGAATATTAACTTGCAGAAGAGAGGACTCAGGATAGACATGATAGTTATGTTCAAGGTTCTGAAGGTGTGTTATAACAGTGAAGGATCATACTTATTCAACTTGGTCCTTCAATCAGTGCTCATAAAGCAGTATTATCATTTTGAGTGACCTCCTATCTAGCTAAATAATACAATTCCTAAAATGTGCTGTTCAGAATAAAAATGAATACTAGAGATGTAGTTTAATCAGGGCATAAGCAAAATAAAATTATCTCCTTAGGTCTAGACATTGCTTTTTTTACTGCTAGCTAAGGTTACATTAATTTTTCTAGTCAACATTATCACACTGTTGACACATATTGAGCTCACACTCCAGTGAAACTCCTGGACTTTTTTCAAATTATTGGCTAGCTATGCCTTTCTGATCTTGCATTTGTGAAATGGATTTTCTGAATTTAATGTTAATCTTTTATATTTGACCGGTGGCAAGAGAATTCCTGCAAACCAGGAAGCTGACCTAATGATCCAGCCTATCAAGATTCTTAATCTTGTCTGATATCTAGTATGAAAGCACTCTCTCTGCTTATTTGATAAGAATGTCATCTATAATATTAACTAAATTTTTGATTAAAAAAAATTCTACAGTATGGGGCCAACAAACACATATATCCCTAAGGTATTATACTGGAGACTACTTACCAAGTGGATGTCAAAACATGAATAACTATTCTTTGGCTTTAGCCATTAACCAGTTTTGAATCTACCTCACTGAGCTTTCATCTACCCCACATCCCTCCATTTTGTTATATGTTTTGCCAAATTCTCAGGAAACTATATTATATCTATAGCATTCCTCTGATCTGATAGTCTAATAACTATGTCAAAAAAAGGAAAGAGTTATTTTGTTTTTTTTTTACTTTTTTATTCCATTTCTAATGTCTATTGACATATTCTTTTTACATCACATTCATTTCTGAATTTCTTTTTCCTCTTCCCTTACTCAGTGAACCACCTCTTGTAACAAAGAATTTTAAAAAAAAGGGGAAAAAAATCAGTTCAGCAAAACTAATTAACCAAGTTTAACAATACAGGCAATAATCCACACCCACAATCCCATTTTGCAAAGAAGGGAAAGGGGTTCGTTTTCTCCTATCTTCTATCTAGGGGCCAACCTAAGTCATTATAATTACATGGTTTGCAGTTTGGGGTTTTTGCTCTATTTATATAGTCATTACATACACTGTTTTCTTGGTTTTGCTGACTTCAACTTTCATCAGATAATACAGCCTATCTAATGCTTCTCTGAACTCTTCATATTCATCATGGTATGGTACAGTAATATTCTTATGGTACAGTAATATTATGTGCATGTACTACACTTTGTTTAGCCATTCCTCAATTGACAGACATCTTTTTTGTCTTCAATTCTTTGCTACAAGAAGTGCTACTATGAATATTTTGGTACATGTAGGAGGCTTTCTTTCTGTTTTTGACAATTTAGGTTTATATGTCTAGCAGTGGGATCTCTGGGTCAAAGAGTATGAATACGTTAGGCATGGGTAGCTAAGTGGCACAGTAGACAGAGCTTTGGGCCTGAAGTCAGGAAGATCAGAGTTTAAATATGGCCTCAGACACTTACTAGCTGTGTGATCCTAGGCACATCACTTATGCTCTGTCTGCTTTGGTTTCCTCTTCTGTAAAATGGGGATAATGATAGCACCTACCTCTTGGGGTTGTTGTGAGGATCAAATGAGGTAATATTTGTAAAATACTTTGTGAACTTTAAAGTGATATTTAAATGCTAGCTGTTATTATTAGAGGGGGTATGTGGGGTGTTCAGGGAGGGCTTGCTGAGCTCTTTTCAGAGTTGCACATCCACCTTTGGTATCTAACTTTCATCTGTGGCTCCGAGAAGCTGTAGCATGTGCAGCAGCCACACCCCAGTAAAACCGCCTCAACAGATGAGCTAAACCAGGTTAAGGGTAATCAACAGGCCTCAAACCTGGCAGTGAGTTGGGGAGATGTCTACCCCAAGCAAATGAAGACTCCCCTACCCAACCCTGGCAGAACGAGTAAACGAGAACAATTTGTCCCAATGGCCATGAAGGCAGCTCTTGTCATCCACTGCAACCTGAGCCATCGCTAGTCATCTTGACTTCTGTCCTGCCACTTGCTGCTGGACTCCGATGACTCAGGAAGAGAGTAAAGCTGTGACTTTGTGCAACTCTGTCTCACTTAAATCCAATTCATGAGCAAGTCAAGACATCACCCATGATGTTAGTGGTTCTCTTCCAAAAACAAAGGACGATCAACAAAGGCATTATTGTTACGTCTTAGCATAATTCTGGCTTGGTCTCCTAAATGGCCAAACCAAGCAACAGCTCCACGAATAGAGTAATATAATTATGTCCCTTATCTTTCTGCAGCCTCTCCAACATTGACTACTTCTATCTTTTGTTATCTTTGCCAATTTCATATCTTAGCTTAATAAATTTGAAGTCCTTGATACAAATGTTAGACAACACAGGGCAAATGGTATTTGTTAGGATTGAGGTCAAACTTCAGAGTTGTTTTGATTTACATTTCTTATTAATGATTTGGAGCAATCCTTCATATGGCTGTTAATAGTTTGCAATTTTTCTTTTGAGAACTATTCCTATTGCTTGGCCACTTATACCACTACGGAGTGGTTTCAGGACCTAAAGATTTGTGTTAATTCCCTAAAAATCTTCAATCCACAATCAAAAGCCTCCCTTTTTATACTAGTAGCATTGGTTTTGTTGCTACAAAAAATTTTTCAATTACATATAACTGAAACTATTTTATCCTTCATGATCATACTCATTTCTTGTTTGGTTAAAAACTCTCCCTGGTTACAAAGAACGTACTGTGAAAAGTACAGGATCTAGTTCTCTTTTCATTTTTTTTTGAAGGTGTGACCTTTAATATTCAGGAGGCATGACCTCTTCTGGATGAAGTCATGCAGGCTCTACATAATCATGACTTACTTCGTTAGATATTCACTAACCATCCCTTTCAATAATTTAATAATAAGATTTTGCAGGAATCAAAGTCGCTGCTATAATTTGTAGATTCCACTCTCCCTCCTTTTTTGAAAATCCAAACATCTGCCTTTCTCTAGTCCTGTAGCACCCCTTCCATTATCTATTTTCTTTCAAAGATTACTTAAAGGAAAGTCATAATGGATCACATTTCCATTATCCTGGGATGTAGGTCATATGGATCTGGTGACTTGAATTCACTAGCTATTATATACTATCTCACTACTTATCTTGGATATCAATTCACTATTAGGCATTTTTGTTCTGGACTTTCCTGTTCTGGCCTTTTCCTTCGGCAGAGAAAACAGGAAGTTTTATAGATGTCTTAAACTGGATGTCCAAACTAAACTAAATGTATAAAACTGAACTTTCTTCCCAAATCCTCCTCTCTTTCTAACTTTCCTATTACTGGCAAATGGCCTGTTATCCTCCCAGTTATCCTGGCCTGCAAGCTCGATGTCATCTTCAACTTCTCACTCTGTCTCATCTCCCATATCCAATCAACTGCCAAATCCTGCTATTTCTACCTTCACAGCATCTCTTATATACATCCCTTTCTCTCCTGTCACTGCTACCATCCTGGTGCAGGCCTTCATCACCTCACACCTGGTCCCAACAGACTGCTAAGTGGTTTCCATGTCTCAAGTCTTTCCACTTCAATCCATCCTTCTGTCAAAGCTATCAAAATGATCGTCCTAAAGTGCAAGCACTTCCTATTCGATCAACTGCAATGTCTCCCAATTACCTCCAGTATCAAACACAAAATCCCCTTTGGCTTTTAAAGGCCTTTTTAACCTGGGCCTTTCCTATCTATCCAGTCTTCTTATACCTTAAACTCTTCTAGTCTGCTCCCACCACTATATACTCTGTGATTCAGTAAAACTAGTCTCCTCATTGTTCCTCAAACTTGACCCTCTCCATCTCCTGACTCCAGGTATTTTCATTGGGTTGCCTCCCATGCTTGAACTTTCCCTCCACATCTCCTGTTGGTTTTCCTGGCTTCAGCTAAAGTCTCACCCAGGACAGAACCCTTAGCAATACCTAGGGTTAGAATGTGTGATATAGAAGAGAATCAAGCAAAGGAGATAGAGGAGAAGTAGTCAGATACGTAGGAGGAGAACCAGGGAGAGTGGTGTCCTAAAAACCTAGAAAACATTCAAGGAAAACAAAGATTGAGAAAAGGCCCGAGGTCAGATTTGGCAACTGAGAAATCAGTGGTAACTTTGGAGATGACATTTTTGAATTAAGAAGAGAGTGTGAGGAGAGAAAGTGGAGGCACCTATGAGTTAAATACATGGTTGTTTAATGAATGAATTACATTAGCTTAAAATGACAAAATAAGCAAGCGTCATATAGACAAGTCCAAATTTATGTACGGCAGGCTGCTATTTCTATGGGAAAGAACGCCCTAGCCTATTTCATAAAAACCAGGAACTATTTTTTATTTATCTATCATAAAAACCAGGAACTATTTTTTATTTATCTAAGGTCTTATGATCTTATCTAGATTCTATTAAAAGTGCTTAATACAAATGGAATTTATACTGGCCCAAACAGGATGAAGAGAGTCACAAGAAGACAGAGAAAGCTCTCTCCCTCCTCAGTCTAAGGACAGAGGATAAATATTATATGAACATAACCAGCTACCACCATCTTTCTCTCTGTAATAGGTAGTTCCTAACTCATGGGCCACCTCTGCCTCTTTCTTGGAATTTACATGGTAATGATGCTAAAACTACAATAACTAGCAGTACAGCCAGTTCTCACTTAATCTAAATGGAACATTCAGCAGGACTCTGCCACATCCTCAGGGCTGCAGCCCGAGCAGCTTCAGCCCCACCAACCCCAGCCCCACCTAGCCTGAGCTCAGCTTCAGCGCCTTATGTGGAGGACCCGCGGCAGGGCTGGGAGCCAGAACCTCCTGTGCAAAGGAGTTGAAAGTAAAGCAAGACATGTCTGACCTATAGAAAACTGCTTACTTTCTTAGGGAGAGGGGAGAGAGGGAAGAAAAGATAGAATTTGGAACACAAAACTTTAAAAAAAATCAAAAAACATTAAAGATTGTTTTTACATGTAATTGGGAAAAAAAATAAAAGATTAAAAAAAAAAGAAAGTAAAGCAAGGACTGTCTACAGTCATTCATTCAACAAATATTTACCAAATGCAAAAGGATTAAGAAACACTGCTGAAGGATACTCAAAAGTTTATTATATTTTCAAAAGCATGTTACAACTTCTCTTCATATTTACAAATAGTAATCAATGTATTTCACGCAAATAACATCCTCTGATTTTGCTGACATTTAATTTACAAGACTTTTGTAATTCTAGATTGAACAATAATGATTTAAAAAAGGCCCCTCAGAATACATATTGTCTCTTACCCTTTCCAACTTTTCAGCTACTCTTTCTTTATATTCTTGGAAAGCTTTGCTTAATTCTTCAGCATTATGCATTGCTTCATTCCTTTGCTGTTCAACCCTACAACATAAATATTTGGCTACTGTTAAAGGATTAAAGAGTATTTAATATCTGAAAAAGCCAACTTTCCAAAATATCCTAAATCATTTGCTTTCTGATTTAATAACCCACAAAAATGTTTTCAACTTAATTAAAATCTAAAAATTTACACTATTTAATAAAGTGACTATGGTTAAAATTAATAATGATTTGAGAATTTAAATGTACAAAAGCAGGGGCAGCTAGGTGGCACAGTGGATAGAGCACCAGCCCTGAAGTCAGGAGAACCTGAGTTCAAATCCTGCCTCAGACCAAACACTTGACACTTACTAGCTGTGTGACCCTGGGCAAGTCACTTAACCCCAACTGCCTAAAAACAAAACAAAAATAAATAAATGTACAAAAGCTAATTAAACCAAATTCAAAATATTGTTCTTTATTAATTGCTTAAAAAAAAAAGTCAACAACACTTTACTATTATAATCTAGACAGGTCCTGCAGCAGCCAACTGGTTCAAACCTTTGATTTACAAATGAGAAAGCTGGGGCTCAGGGAGGTTAAGGGACTTGCCCAATGTTACACAAGTTAAAAGCATTCGAGTTGAATACATATTCTCTGACTTCATTACCAAACCCCTGTACAGTGTGTAATATGAGAAACAGCATGCCATGGAAACTGCTTCCCTGAAAAAGTCCCTGATTTCAGCTTACCTTTTGGTTGTTTGGTTATAACAAACATTACAACCCTTGAACTTCTGCATAAAGGTAGGATAAATAACAGCCAATAATAATAGCCTATTTATACTAAAGTGTTCTGGATAAGTAAATTCCCCAAATAACCTAAGGTTAAATTTTTAAGAAAACAAAGCTGTTTAATTTCAATGGAAATTATTCTTTAAAATACTACTGCCTTAGTAAACTAAGAATACACCTGTACTTCATAACAAGATGTATATTCCCTCAACTGACCCATGCCTTCCTAACCTCTACACTTCTTATCCATGTCCTTCTGCTAATAATCCTCCACAGAAGACTCAGAGGGTCCACCAAACAGACCAGGGTCCTTTTTCTTAATTTCTTCACACTGTGCAAATACCAATAGTATATGTGCGCTATCCAATAGTTATTTTTCAACCTTGCAAAAGATGACCTTTATTTTATTTATAGTTAATGTACTTCTTCTTTGATAATATGTATTATGCTGCTTCTGCATCTATCCATTTATTTTACATTTAATAGTCTTTTATTGTTCAGGATTTCAAATTTTTATTATTTATTTATTTAAAACATTCATTTTTTTTTTAATGTTCCAAATTCTCTCCTTCTCTCCTGCTCCTCCCCATCCACTGAGAAGGTAAACAATATGATATCAATTATACATGTGAAATTATGCAAAACATATTTCCACATTAGCCATGTTGTAAAAAAAAAAAAAAAAAGAAAGTGAAAAAATTATACTTCAATTTGCATTCAAGAGTTCATCAGTTCTCTCTCTGGAGTGGATAATATTTTTCATCATGAGTCCTTCAGAACAATCTTGGATCACTGTACTAATCAGAGCAGCTAAGTCTTTCACAGCTGATCATCATTACAATATTATTGTTATTGTGTACAATGATCTCCCAGTTCTGCTCACTTCACTCTACATCCATTCATATAGGTAATTCTGAAACCATCCCCTCATCATTTCTTATAGCATAATAATATGCTTTTAAAATTTTTATTTTAATGTTATTTTAAAAATTTTTTAATTTAAAATTTAATTTTTAAAAACATTTTCTCCCTCTCTCCCACCCTTCTCCCATCTATTGAGAAGACAAGCAATATGCACAACATATTTCCAGATTAGCCATGTTAACACAATAATATACTGAATATGATTTAAACTATTCTTTTGACTCCGTGCCATTATGAATAGGCATAGTAGCTGCAGAAATTGTATAACATAAATCTGAATGGATACTGAACCTAGAAATACTATGAAACTTGCTTTCCTGAAAAAGTCCCTGATTTCAGCTTACTTCTTGGTTATTTGTATTGATTACAAACATTAGAATACATGAACTTTTGCATAAAGGTTTAATAAAGGATATATAACTACACGATTTCCAAAGCAGAGAAACATTACTGACTTTGTTAAAAAAAAAAAGTTTTACAAAAGTGTGTATTTGTGTGTTTAAATCACTTACATTTTCCAATATATTCCTTCTCCCCTTCTATACTCATAAAGCCATACCTTATAACAAAGAGCAAAATTAACCAACATACTAAAAAAGTCTGACATTACATAACAGCCTTCCATGTCCATATTCCCTGAACTCTGTAAAGGAGCATACACTATTTTATGAACAAAAAAAGTAAGGAGAGAGAAATAATTTGTATTGTCACTGGAGTATTAACAAAGCACCTGTGCAGAGGGAGGAAACAGATGAGAGGAGTTAGGAACCAGATCATAAATCCGACACAAAGGCAAGATATAGTTATTGTCTACCAAAAACCTGCTAAGAGTCTTAACGATCATTTCATCCTTTAAAAAATAGAAGTCATACCAAGGGAAAATGCTACTAATTCTGAATGAGGAACCAAACACCCAAATTCCATATTGGTTACATAGAAGTCATAGGAACCATGGAGGAACTCTATCTTCAAATTTGTGATAGTGAGGAGAGTAGGGCATAATCTACTGACATCCACCTTAGATTTTAGGAGAAAAGACTGCAAAGGATTCAGAAAAAGATTAGATGGAATCCCATGGCCTAAGACTCTATAAGGAAAGTTAGCCCAGGAGAGAAAGGAAGCTCTCAAGAATGAAACTCTAAAAATAAACAGAAATTATTCTGGGGAAAGGTAAAGGCATAATAAAGCTAAATTTCAGGGGTAGAGTCAAGGTTGGAGAGGTAGCATTTTTGCTTTAGCTCACCCAGCACACCTTCTACACAACAACTCAGAAAACATGCCAAGCCAAATTTTGAATGGGAAAACCAAAGAAAATGTCACAGTGAGTTATATTTCCAAGCCAGTGGTTAATATTTCAAACCCAAGCTTAGGAAAAGTCACAGTGAATCATATTTCCAACCCAAGTTTAGGAAGAGAGAGAAGTCTGTTGACCTAAGTGGTGACAGGTTGGCAGTGGTGTATAACATTCTAGCTCATAGAGACCAAGGGGCCAAGACAGCATGCTAGGGCAGGAAGCACAAGGGCAGAAAAAGAGCCCAGGGAACTCATGAAATAGCGCTGGGCACAATAATTGATGCCATCTGGTAGGTCTGTTTGCCCATTATCCAGTTTCAGGTCACAGACCCAGTACAGAGAGGAAGTATTGAGTGAGCAGGATCTTAGCTGAGTACTGAGCACAGAACAAATTCCAGAAACTTTGCTGTGTGGCTCTGAGTCCAGAACACAGCAGAACTTAGTTCTAACCTTTAGTGCAGCACAGAAGCCTGCAGTGGAATAACCAGGAAAGGAGACCAAGACCAAAGAGGAAGAAACAGTTTAGTTGCTCTGAACCTGCAGGCTCTCAGTAGGCTAACAGTGACAGAGTCGAGCAGCAGTCTATCCTCCATACAAGCCAAGACCCAATTTACAAAGCTCAGACCAAGAGGGCAGTGAACAGTCCTTTCCCCAGATCACACCACTTTGGAATCATTGATAACTTGCAGGACCCCAGACTGAGATGTGAAAGTAGCAGAAAACAAGACATAAGCTCAGGACGGATGTTCCCACAACCCCACGCTCAGAAGTAAACAGAGCTCAATACTCCCATAAAGTCCAAAGGTCAGAAGTAGGTTGGAAGAATGAGCAAACAAAAGAAGAATCATACAATCGTGACAGGGAAGCTCAAAACTCAAATACTGTTGTTTACAAGAAATACACTTGAGTTAAAATAAGGGACTGGGGTAGAATCCACTATGCTTCTAAGTTGAAGTAAAAAAAGGTAGAGGTGGTGATCAAGATCTCAGACAAAACAAAAGCAAAAATTGACCTAATTTAAAAAGATAATTAGGGAAACCACATCTTGCTAAAAGGTATCATAGACAATGAATTGATCAATGCTGAACATGTATATATCAAACAGCATAGCATTTAAAATTTTAGAAGAAAAGATAAATGATTTATATAGGAGGAAAGAGATAGTAAAACTATAATAGTGGGGGACATAAATTTATACCTCTCAGACCTAGATAAAATCTAAGCATAAAATAAACATGAAAGAAGAAGCTGAGGAGAATTTTAGAAAAGTTATATATGATAGACTTCCGAAATAGGAATAGAAAGTATATCCAGTTTTCTCAGCTGAATAAGGCACCTTCACAAAAACTGATCATCTATTAGGGCATAAAAACCTCACAAACAAATACAAAAAAAAAGCAGAAATATTAAATGCATCTTTTTCTGACCACAATGTAGTAAAAATTACATTCAACAAAGAGCTTTTAAAGCATAGATTAAAATTCATTAGAAACTAACAATCCTAAAAAACGGATGGGTCAAAGAACAAATCATAGAAACAGTCAATAATGTCATTAAAGATAATGACAATAGTGAGACAACATACCAAAATTTGGATGCAGCAAAAGCAATACTCAGGGGAAAATTTTTATCTCCAAACATTTACAATGATAAAAGAGAGAAAGAGCAGATTGATGAATCAGACACACAACTAAAAAAATTAGAAAACCAACAAATTTAAAACCCTCAATTAAACACCAAAATAGATATCCTGAAAATCAAAGGAGAGATGAACAACGATAGTAAAAAAAAGTTGAATAAATAAAGGTAGGAGCTGTTAAAAAAAAAAAAAAGACAAAACAGATAAACCATTGGCTAATTTGATTTATAACAAGAAAGAAGAAAATAAAATTACCAGTATCAAAAATAAAAAAGGGGACTTCACAACCAATGAAGATGAAATAAAAGCAATGATTAGGAGCTATTTTGCCTGTCTGCCAATAACACTGACAATCTTAATAAAATGAATATTTACAAAACTATAAATTGCTCATATTAACAAGAAATAGCATACTTAAACAACCCTATCTTAGAAATGAAAACTGAATAAATCATAAACTAACTCCTTAACAAAAAAAAAAAGCAAGCAAATTTTACCAAATTTACAAGCAAATTCTACCAAATATTTAAGGAACAGTTAATTCCAATACTATATAAACTGAAAAAGGTAGGTAAAGAAGGAGTACTACCAAATTCCTTCTGACACAAATATAGTATTGATACTTAAAGCAGAGAGAACCAAAATAGAGAAAAACTATAAACCAATTTCTCTAATTAATGTTGATACAAATATTTTAAATAAAACACTAGCAAGGAAAATGCAGCAATATATCACAAAGATCATATACTATGACCAAGCTTGGATTTATAACAGGAATGGTTCAATATTATCCTGGTTCAATATTAGGAAAACTAAAAGCATTATTGATCATATCAATAACAAAACCAACAAAAATCATGATTATTTCAACAGATGTAGAAAAAGCTTTTGATAAAATATAATACCCATTTCTTTTAAAAACACTAGAAAGTATAGGAATAAATGGAGCTTTCCTTAAAATGACAAGTAGTACCCATCCAAAACCAAGAGCAAGCTTTATTTATAATGTGGATAGGCTAGAAACCTTTACAATAAGAATGAAGCAAGGATTTCCATTATCACCAGTATTACTCAGTATCGCACTAGAAATGCTAGCTATTGTAATAAGACAAGGAAAAGAAACTGAAGCAATAAACAAATAAACAAATGCAAAGAGGAAACAAAATTATCACTTTTTGCAGATGATACAGCATTGGAATTGGTTCAAAGAGGGAAGAATATATATATGTGTATGTGTGTGTGTGTGTGTGTGTACCTATACATACATACACACACACACACACACACACACACACACACACACACACACACACACACAC